TGGGAAGGAGATAATTATGGCTGACCCTGAGCGTCCCCATCACAAGACTGTGTGATCATCATCAGTGTGCAACAATATATAGCAAAACTCCAGGACAATATTACATTGTTTTATCCCAGCTCCCCTTTGCTCCAGTTACACTGTTTTACAACAGTCTACTGCCCCAGTTATATTGTTTTATCCCAGCTCCCCCCCCCACTCCAGTTACACTGTTTTACCCCAGTCCCCTGCCCCAGTTTCACTGTTTTACTCCAGCCCCTCCCCATTACACTGTTTTACCCCAGCCCCTCCCCCATTACACTTTCTTTACCCCAGCCCCAACCCCATGTTTCACTGTTTTACCCCAGGCCTCCGTTACACTGTTTTTACCCCAGCCCCTCCCCGTTACACTGTTTTGCACCCCAGTTACACTGTTTTACCCCAGTCCCCTGCCCCAGTTTCACTGTTTACCCCAGCCCTCCCCATTACACTGTTTTACCCCAGCCCCTCCCCATTACACTGTGTGTTTTTACCCCAGCGGCTCCCCAGTTTCACTGTTTTGCCCCAACCCCTCCCCATTGCTGTTTTGCAGCCCTCCCCACGTTACTGTTTACCCCAATTTACGCTGTTTTACCCCAGTCCCTATACCCCAGTTTCATGTTTACCCCAGCCCCTCCCCATTACACTGTTTTAGCCCTCCCCATTACACTGTTTTACCCCAGCGGCTCCCCAGTTTCACTGTTTACCCCAACCCTCCCCCATTACACTGTTTTACCCCAGCCCCTCCCCGTTACACTGTTTTACCCCAGTTACACTGTTTTGATCCTGCCCCAGTTTCACTTTCTGTTTTACCCCAGTCCCTCCCCCATTACACTGTTTTACCCCAAGCCCCTCCCCCATTACACTGTTTTACCCCAGCCCTCCCCATTACACTGTTTTACCCCAGCCCTCCCCCATTACACTGTTTACCCCAGCCCTCCCCGTTACACTGTTTACCCCAGTTACACTGTTTTACCCCAGTCCCTGCCCCAGTTTCACTGTGTTTTACCCCAGCCCCTCCCCATTACACTGTTTTAACAGCCTCCCCGTTACACTGTTTTACCCAGCCCCTCCCATTACACTGTTTTACCCCAGCCCCTCCCCGTTACACTGTTTTACCCCAGCCCCTCCCGTTACACTATTTTTTGGTTACACTGTTTTACCCCAGTCCGCCCCAGTTTCACTGTTTTACTAGTCCACTCCCCATTACACTGTTTTGCAGCCCCTCCCCATTACACTGTTTTTACTAAGCCCTCTCCCCATTACACTGTTTTGCCCCAGCCCCCTCCCCATTACACTGTTTTACCCCAGCCCGCTCCCCCAGTTTCACTGTTTTACCCCAGCCCTCCCATTACACTGTTTACCCCAGCCCCTCCCCGCGTTACACTGTTTTACCCCAGTTACACTGTTTTACCCCAGTCCCTGCCCCAGTTTCCTGTTTACCCCAGTCCCTCCCCACATTACACTGTTTTACTAGAAGCCCCTCCCCATTAAACTGTTTTACTTTAGCCCCTCCCCATTACACTGTTTTACCCCAGCCCCTCCCCGTTACACTGTTTTACCCCAGTTACACTGTTTTACCCCAGAGTCCTGCTAGTTCACTGTTTTACCCCAGCCCTCCCCATTACACTGTTTTTACCCAAACCCCTCCCCCGTTACACTGTTTTACCCCAGCCCCTCCCCGTTACACTATTTTACCCAGTTACACTGTTTTACCCCGGTCACTGAGTTTTCACTGTTTTTACCCCAGTCCCTCCCCATTACACTGTTTTACTAGCCCCTCCCCATTACACTGTTTTACCCCAGCCCCTCCCCATTACACTGTTTTACCCCAGCCCCTCTCCCATTACACTGTTTTACCCCAGCCTCCCCCCCATTACACTGTTTTACCCCAGCCGCTCCCCCAGTTTCACTGTTTTACCCCAGCCCCTCCCCCCGTTACACTGTTTTACCCCAGTTACACTGTTCATAGATCATTTCCAGTAATACAGATGTTTTCGTTTCAGCAACTGGAAACTAAACTGAGAAATTTGCATTGCATTCACTTTGATTCCTCAACAATTCACACTTTTGTAAATAACCCTGTTAGTGCTTTGGATTCTAGCTGTTGGCTGAGCACTATGAGAGTTGAAGTCCAACACTAATACAATTCTAAAGCTGGTTACAACATGAAATAAATGATCAATATGTGTTTGTTCAAATGTCTTCCATTAGACTTGTTTGTGTGATATTAGATATATGTAATGTTTTTTTTCAGATATTGGGGAAATGACGCATGGCGTATTGAGTGACGGCTCGGATTATGGTGCTCACAGATGCCGTGGAGAGGGTAAAACACAAAGAAACATCCTGAAACGGTTTGTTCAGTAAACTGTGAATTGTCCTGAATTCTGAATGTAAACAGCCAAGCTGCGGCAATGGTGGAGTCAGGGAATCTTTTTGAATCATTTATTGTGCCGTAACTCTTCAGCAATTTGGTTTTAAATGTTTTACAAATCACTCTTTACTGAATAAACCCGTATGTCAAAGCACTCAGGGTTACTCGCTAAGCTCCGATTTGTAGTGAATTAAAATCTGAATGCCAACAAACGCAATAAAGAATTCACTGCAATGGTGGAAGAGGTGCAAAGCTCTGCATTGGTGCAATGTATGGAACCTGCACAAGAATCAGGAGGCAGCCCAAGGCTCTGCACAGGGGAAGGAAACAGTACAAGGCTCTGCACAGGGGAAGGAAACAGTACGAGGCTCTGCACAGGGGAAGGAAACAGTACGAGGCTCTGCACAGGGGAAGGAAACAGTACGAGGCTCTGCACAGGAGAAGGAAACAGTACAAAGCTCTGCAAAGGGGAAGGAAACAGTACGAGGCTCTGCACAGGGGAAGGAAACAGTACGAGGCTCTGCACAGGGGAAGGAAACAGTACGAGGCTCTGCAGAGGGGAAGGAAACAGTACAAGGCTCTGCACAGGGGAAGGAAACAGTACAAGGCTCTGCACAGGGGAAGGAAACAGTACGAGGCTCTGCAGAGGGGAAGGAAACAGTACGAGGCTCTGCAGAGGGGAAGGAAACAGGACAAGGCTCTGCACAGGGTTAAGAAACAGTAAAAGGCTCTGCAGAGGGGAAGATGTGGCAAAAGGCATTGCATAAGGCTCTGCAGAGGGTAAAGGAAACATCACATGGCTCTGCAGAGAGGAAGGAGAAAGCACGGGGCTCTGCATATAGGAGGGAGATAGCACAGGGCTCTGCAGAGAGGAAGGAGATAGCACAGGGCTCTGCAGAGAGGAAGGAGATAGCACAGGGCTCTGCATATAGGAGGGAGATAGGACGGGGCTCTGCATAGAGGAAGGAGATAGCACGGGGCTCTGCAGAGAGGAGGGAGATAGCACAGGGCTCTGCAGAGAGGAGGGAGATAGGACGGGGCTCTGCAGAGAGGAAGGAGATAGCACAGGGCTCTGCATAGAGGAAGGAGATAGCACGGGGCTCTGCATAGAGGAAGGAGATAGCACGGGGCTCTGCACAGAGGAGGGAGATAGCACGGGGCCCTGCATAGGAGATGGTCAGGATTTAGTGGGCTGCAGGCTATTCTTCCACACATGACTCATGCAGTTCACATTTGTATCAATTTGATAAATGTCCTGAACACAAACCACAACCAGCCAGTCACAGACTCCAGGCCTTTTTACTGCCTCCACCTGGAATGGAGACTTGCCACTGCCCATGCATTAGTTTTTACTGCGAGAGTCGCAGCTCGTTCTCCAATGTGTGTTTGGCTGGCACTCCAATCTCTCCCACCCACCACTCGCAGATCAATGGGACGTTTCTCGTTTCGTTAATTGTACCCGTAGGGTTGGTGCCCAGCTGCAACAGGCATTGTCTCCGTGAGATTCTAATAGGATCAGACACAGAGACAACTTCATTAAATGATCATCTTGGCCAAATCCTATCTGCATTACAGAGCATGGCTCTGCCTAATGGCTCTGCAAGAGTTTGCGGTGGAGCTCACCAAGCTCTGTTCCTCTCATACATTCAGGATGATCACAGAGCCTCTGCTACTCCAACTCCCATGAGTCTCAGCCAGCTTTGTGACCTTGACCTAGTCAATGGCACGTGTAATCTCCCAACTTACAGTCATTGCCCTTAGCTTTACAAGTAAGGTATAGACTGCTACTCCTATCATGCAAAGCCAGCAATGAGATATTTATGTACTTGCTCAGCATCATATGAATTATAGTCGGCAGAGTATCAAATGTTGCATATCCCTGCTGGAGTCACAGTGCGCTAATTCTATCTAAGATTTGCATCCCCATTGTTACTGCTCCACAATTCACAGTTTAGTGACCAACCCTCAGAGTCCTTTACATGCGGAGATGAAAATCCTATAAATTGCTCGGCTTTGAATCTGCGTCACCTCGCTCCATGTCCCTTATTGCACACGCAGAGAGTTAGAGATCGAATTATAAAATCCCAGTGAAGACAACAGGGGAGATTTATCAAACAGGACTATTCACTGAAGTGAGAATTCAAAGTCAACTGAAATGTAATTCCAAATTTAATGTCAAAATAACTGAACAGGAAAATGTAATAAAAATTAAAAGTTAAAATCACTTTTGTGACAGAGCCCCGGCTGAGTACCTCCACCAAGTCTGCTTCCAGTGACCTTGGAATGCTTCTGCTCCGGTCGCCACAGCTTGACTGGGAACCTTTTGCACTCAACCAGTCAGCAGCTCTCCTTCCAGGAAGGTATCAACCCCTCTGCCTATTCCGCTGCAGCCCTTCTTCCATGCAGCTCTGCTTAAAGTGATTATAGTTATTGCCTTTATAAAGGCAACTGCAACTCTCAGGCCTAGTTCTCTTGAATTATCCCAGGGATCCTGCAACCAACAAACAGGTCCAAAGACTCTGTCAATAGGACCCCTTAAATACACAAAAGGAACTGATATACAATACTTTATTTTACTTGGGACTATCCCATATGATTATTACATAAACATTGCAGTGACAACTTCAATATAATTACAAACAGTCAAATCATAGCAGATAACATATAGCAACTTATTATAACGCAATTACATATTTAAAAGGGGTGGGGAATACAACAACAGAAAATATCTCTCCTGCCTGCAGAATTAGCAATATGCAAATGTACTGGAATATGCAAATTAGCACGTCTTGCTATTCAGGTAGTGCATATCACGGTTGCTAGATCCTTGCAACCAATAGGTGGAACTGTACAGGTTCTACAGCCAAATCCACCTAGTTGATTGCAAGCATTAGCAAGACAGGAGAGCACGCTAACATTTAACCCTAAACAAAAGCATTACACACATATCCTGCACCAACAATGAACACATTGTTACTTAAACATTTCAGTCATTCAGATACCTAATTGGATTGTCCATCTTAAAGGACCACTATAGTGCCAGGAAAACATACTCGTTTTTCTGACACTATAGTGCCCTGAGGGTGCCCCCACCCTCAGGGACCCCCTCCCGCCCGGCTCTGGAAGGGGGAAAGGCGTTTAAACTTACCTTTTTCCAGCGCTGGGCGGAGAGCTCTCCTCCTTCTCTCCTCCTCCGTTCCGCCCCGTCGGCTGAATGCGCACGCGCGGCAAGAGCTGCGCGTGCATTCAGCCCGTCGCATAGGAAAGCATTTACAATGCTTTCCTATGGACGCTGGCGTGCTCTCACTGTGAAAATCACAGTGAGAAGCACGCAAGCGCCTCTAGTGGCTGTCAATGAGACAGCCACTAGAGGTTTAGGGGGAAGGCTTAACCCATTAATAAACATAGCAGTTTCTCTGAAACTGCTATGTTTATAAAAAAATGGGTTAACCCTAGCTGGACCTGGCACCCAGACCACTTCATTAAGCTGAAGTGGTCTGGGTGCCTAGAGTGGTCCTTTAAGCTCTTGGTGATTGTGACTACCGTCATAACTTTGAACTCTGACTTTATTAAATACGCCTGAAAGTGCTCTGTTCTAACACATGTTCTAACTACTAAAAGTGGGTCAATCGCCATGGGAACCACTGGAACCATTAGGCATGTTCCATCGGTGAAATTTCCCCATGCACAATTTTGTATCAATTTGATAAATGTCCCGAACACAAACCACAACCAGCCCATCACAGACTGAGAGGATGAGACTGACCAGTAAATATGTAAATAAATCATCCCGTAAATCGGAGATCGCTCAATGAGTCTGACACCGTTTCTTGGTTTGTCATATTCATTTCCTAAACCTGCCTCAAAGAGCTTCTCCACGTTCACCTAAAGGTGCTCCGTAGTCTATGGCGCAATTTAATATTTAATTTAACTTTCCGTTTTACTTTAAATGGACGCTTCTTTTTTTTCCCAACACATTAAAAGGATAATGCATTAGAAAACATATACATAGAAAAGGCAACATAATGTAATAATATAATATCAAATTTTATAAACTTACTTAGTATAACTAAATATAACTTTGGTTTGTGTCAAACTCTTTAAAAGAAGTTTGACACAGAACTAAGGCAATGACGACAACAGCCTCCTGGAACCATAACTACTGTAACAGGCTGTAGTGTTTATGGTACTTGGATCGTTCCTTTCAGGGAATTTTATGACAAAGTGAAAGGGTTATACTAATGTACGTGCATTTACTGAAAACATGTCCTTGAGTTCTGTACTTCTCTTTTAAATGGGAAAAAAAATTAGCAATGAAATTTAAATTAACCCAATGAATTTATTGAATAAAACCTCATTTAAGGCTGACCTCCAGGGAGTTTTAATTAAATTTATAAAACAGCTATATAGATTTATCGCATATAGCTCAAACAGCGCTCCCGGCTGCATTTTATCTGGGCGCTGGTGAATAGATTATCTTTATGGTGCAATGTATTTTCAAGGTGAAATAAAATACATAGCACTCACAGCTGGAATATTTTCTAAAACGTAATGAAGTTATTTAAATAGGAACATTTAATAAAGACAGTGGAATTAAACGCTTTGCTTTGTTTTTGCAAATATTTCCCAAATGTGTTTTTCTGGACCGCTGTTTACACCTTTACCATGTGCATAAAAACTCCCCAATAAAAATAAATAAATATATTTAATTTTTTTCCCGTTATTATTTTATATTAAGACAGTCCTCACTTAGCATCCGGGTTCCGTTCTTACAGTCGTAAAAGAAATTGGTTGGTAAGTGAGGATCAGTTAGAAAAAAATGTGCTACAGAGTTGGTCAATGTTAGGGAGGAATTCCACAGAACATAGACCAGCTCACTAGTGCAGGGAATCCCACAAATGTATGCTGGGAAAACTTGCGAAATATGCTTCCAATTGTGTCTCTAGGAACATTCAATGCCTTCACTATCTTTTTGTTTTGTTCCTTGTTTGTGAAGGGTGATGATGTCTTCTTCTAACTTTGTGGACCATTCTTTGACTTAGCCATATTTCTAACATGCAGTCAAACGTGACACTCAACAAACCCCTAACCAGTTCAGGAATTTCAAGTGTTCCAGCTCAAGCACACCTGGTGCAACTAATAAAGCCCTTGATTATTTGCATCAGGTGTGCTTGAGACATCTCCTGTTTTGCATATTTGTGGTGTTGTGAGGGATTCTATTCAGGGGGTTGAATAATTTTGAGACTGGAGAAGTCATTATAAGTTGCATTTTTGGGGATTTAGGGAAACACTTGAAGCATTCGTTGTGTTGAGCTATTTCAATTACTTGTGCTTGATTTGTTCATTGTAAACAGCTGAAAGTCTGTACATTTTGACAATAAACCTGATTTTCAGTGGGGGTTGAATAATTTTGATTGCAACTGTATATGACTGAAGGTTCCTGTCATATACTAAAGGAAGGGGTGAAGTTTTGTTTGTGTTTTTACATTAAAAAATAATTTAAAAAACAAAACATCTACACACACACACACACATATATACGTATATAAGTATCTTGAGGAAGACCTGAAGAGGTCAAAACGTCGATCGGATTTATGTAACTTTGTTGGATATTAAATACCAGTGATTTCTTCTAAAGACTGCAGAGTGCATCTCTTTTTCATTTATTATATATAAAAGACAAAAATCAGCACGCCCAGGTAGCTTTCTTAGGAACTTATTTTACTAAAAAGTGTAACAGTCAACGTTTCAGTTCCATTCAGGAACTTACATCAGGACAACCACATTGACCTGCAAATCAATGTATAACTTTTTTGACATGAAGATAGGGAGTACAAGCGCTTCTATGTATAGTTTTGAATTCAGATTATACCAAACAAATTTGATGTGAGCTGCTATACCACCGTGCTTATCTTTCTATCGAGAAATGGTGAAAAAGTGAGAAGTATCGGTGTAGCGCTCTATAGTAGTGGATGACCTTGCTATACCTTGATGGGTTATATATACTTATAAATAGTCCCAATGTTTTCAGGTTCACCTTAAATAAAAAACACAAATATACAGAACATAGTGTAACCTGTATACAAAATGTGAATAAAAATAAAGTGCATAGGTAACTAACTCACACTTTTCTGAGCTAATATACTAGCTCAGGTATATGCGCCTTAGGGTCCGTAAAGGCGACCCTTCCCCTCCTTTGCGTCCAAATTTTCTCCAGGTGCAGTGTCCTAGGTAATAGGTATAGGAGGAAAAAAGAGCGTAGTACAGTCTGATGTATGTAAGGTATATTAAATAAATAATACCAATATACTCACAAACCCTGAGCCCATATATCGGCTCGCTTCATAAGATGTATGTGGTTAAGGACCACATTCCTTCTTTATAGTAGCAGGTAAGAATAAAAGCCGTAAGTGTGATAAAAATATATGTATAATTTATTGTATAAAAAGTATAACATAAGTTTAAAAATACTATATCAATAAAATCAACACTTGTGGCTATAGTCCAAAAGACAATTTAGTCTGCTCAGGGTTTGTGAGTATATTGGTATTATTTATTTAATATACCTTACATACATCAGACTGTACTACGCTCTTTTTTCCTCCTATACCTATTACATAGGACACTGCACCTGGAGAAAATTTGGACGCAAAGGAGGGGAAGGGTCGCCTTTACAGACCCTAAGGCGCATATACCTGAGCTAGTATATTAGCTCAGAAAAGTGTGAGTTAGTTACCTTTGCACTTTATTTTTATTCACATTTTGTATACAGGTTACACTATGTTCTGTATATTTGTGTTTTTTATTTAAGGTGAACCTGAAAACATTGGGACTATTTATAAGTATATATAACCCATCAAGGTATAGCAAGGTCACCTTTTATTCATTTCTACACATCCACTACTATAGAGCGCTACACCGATACTTCTCACTTTTTCAACTTTTTTGACATGTGTTTTCTTTCAAAATCACCAGGGGATCAAATACTTTTCCCCCTCACTGTATGTATATAGCCGTTTTAATCACGTTGTTGGTGTGACTCTTGAAATGGTTCGTATCTAGGAAGTTGGAGAGGTTTCTGAATATAGGGCCGCCTATAGGTAGTCTATTTGAGGTAGGGGATCTATCGGCTTTGTTAATGCCTTTGCTTTTAATGGGGTATGATGTGAGAAAGGGTGTGTGATTGGGATATGTGCTGAGCATGTGATGCTGAAATCCTGTAAGGTAATGTGTGATGGTATTATGGGCTAGTTCAAGATGAAGCTGGTTATATATTGAAGATCCGTATTTCCTTTCAAAACTTGATGAAAGGATTATTATATTAAAAATTAGTCTTGAGGTGGAAGTTGCCCTTTAAGTGCTAGATATGCAATTTCATTTTCAAATAAATGTCTTGATAAGGAATAGAATTTGGCAGTGAAGGGGTTAATAAAACTTCTTGCGATCACAGTTTTGGTTTTTGGAAATACATTTTATGATTAAGCACCACTCTATGTTTCTCTTTTATATTGAAAAACTATCAGCGGAGTATTATTCACTGCAAATCTGGCTACTAAATAATTAGTTTGCAACGTAAAACTACAGCGCCTAGTGTTAGATGCAATTCCTAAATCATGGAGGGCTTTGGATTGTGCAGTCTTCTTTACTGATTATAGAAGACGGATTAGAAGATTATTAAATTCTTGTGGGTCTGCAAAACTTGTCAGTTTGAAGCACCCAAGTCCATTTTAGCTTAAATCACAGAGAATGCTTGCAGACTGTACTTCACACTTTTAATACAGTCAATTAAAAGGTCTGTTAACCACTGGTATACACAGTAGTAATGTCACTATGTACTGATTTATGCCCAGCAGATTGGCAATAACAGCACCTGCAAAGATTGTAAAACACACAGTGCCGCTCGTCTCTCAGACAGGCACTTCCATATCTCTGGCATATTAATGAATCTTTGAAAATTAAAATATTGTGCTAGATATCTGCAGATCAAGCAGGCCTTACAATAAAAAAGCAACCAATACTTGTATCTTTATCGCTATGCGTCAAAATAAGATATACAATCGCTGCAAAATCTTGTGGTCACTAGTATATCCTAATTCTCATTGACCTTTCCGCTGCTTTTGATACTGTTGAGCATCAACAGCTTCTTCTCATTCTCCGTAATCTCAGTCTACGAGATATTGCTCTCTCCTGGTGCTCCTCCTAGCTCGCCCAGCGCTCTCAGTGTTTCTATCTCTGGCTCTGCTTCTTCTCCCCAACTTCTCTCTGTTGGTGTCCCCCCCAAAGGTTCAGTCCTTGGTCCCCTACTGTTCTCCATCTATACTGCCTCCCTTGGTAAACTCATCAGGTCCTTTGGCTTCCAATATCACTTCTATGCAGATGACATGCAAATCTATTTGTCCTTCCCTGATCTCTCCCCACCCCTCTTGACTAGTGTCTCTGACTGCCTCTCTGCTATTTCTAACTGCATGGCTGCCCACTTCTTTAAGCTCAACTTGTCCAAAACAGAACTTCTGGTCTTTCCTCCCTTGAGTGTTGCTACTGCCGTTTCTGTCTCCCTCCATGTTAATGGTGCTACACCACGCAGGCTCGTTGCCTAGGTGTTCTCTTTGACTCCAACCTCTCCTTCACCCCTTATGTCCAGTCTAATGCCAAATCCTGCCGCTTCCATCTCAAAAACATTGCGCGCACCTGCCCCTACTTAACGCCAGATGCAACTAAGGTGCTGGTCCATGCCACTGTCATCTCTCGCCTTGACTACTGCAATCTGCTTCTCACTGGTCTTACGTTCTCCCAACTTGCCCCATTGCAGTCTATAATGAATCCGGGGGCGAGGCTTATCTTCCTGTCTGCCTGCACCTCCCATGCCTCACCCCTCTGTCAGTCCCTGCATGGCTTCCCGTAAGATATAGGGCTCAATAAAAAAATTCTGGTTCTTGCTTTCAAATCTCTACATAATGCTGTTCCCACCTATCTATCCTCCCTAATACACAAGTATGTCCCGTATAGGCCCCTACGCTCTGCTGAAGACCTGCGCCTATCCTCTGATGCTCGTATCCAAGACTTCTCAAGGGCTGCACCGTTCCTGTGGAACTTCCTTCCCTTTTCCGTTAGACGCTCACCTTCAAAAAATCATTAAAAACTCACTTTTATTAGTTGCCAGGCAACAGTAGTGAGCACGCTCAAGAGGCTGACTCTGATGGTGAGGGCTGGGTATGAAATGTACAAGCTGGGTTCTCATCACAAATCATGGCTTCCCTTACAAAATTCGACATGCAAACACATACAATCTCATAGGTACAAACACAATGCAAGTAGCTACGGATAAACTGATAGCAGATGCGGCACGGCTTCTATTATTTGCAGAGCAGTACCACTCATCGTAAAGTGATGAATGAAACTGTTCAGAGGTTCATGGGATTATAAATCTCATCCTGGTTAGGGAAGAGCCTGGATAGACCCATTAAACAGTGCTAACAATGGACCTCTAAAGCAATTTCCTTTTTTTAAAAAAATTTTCATTCTGTATCTAGATAATGCATTCAAATAGGGGGTAAGTATAACCCATAGTTTCAATTTCAAGTCATATAAACTAGGGCAATGTAATGAATGCCTGTTACCTCAAAGAACAGGATATAACCTTCACCTCTCACTAGGATGTTCCTGGAGAGTAGGGGGCATTTTTCCAGCACTCAGTCCTGTCTTCCCTTTTCCTTATGATTTGGAGCATTGATCGCTAGCTTACAGACACACAGGCAATGAAAACACGTACACCTGGATTGGCAGATGTGATACTTGCCATGCAGCTAGTTACAGACGCATACATTGCCGTTCTACTAATCCGGATATCTTGTGAATAAAAAATTGCATCCTTAGATAAGTATTTTTAGTATTCCCTTAGATTTAAACTCCGTATGAGGCGAACCCCACTGGGCTTTCTGAAACAGGCTTTTGCTAAATCTTCCCTTGGTTTTCAAAAAGGATAAGAACTAAAAGGACTGATTCTCTGGTTGATTTATGTGTGAAGAACATGAACACTTGTTTAATTCTTCATCTTTAACATAACAGATCCAAGGCTAGAAAATTCTTAGTCTTTACTTTCTCTTTTTCAGCTAGGCAAAGATCTACATTAACTGAAAGAAAACCATTAGCCCATAAATATTCTACATTTTTGATCAACAACAGGGAGGGTTGTTTATGGCAAGATTATTAAATAAGTGAAAGGTTTATTTCTATTATAATTTCTGTCCTTTTTATCCAATAAAGTTGCAGCAGATAAAACATTTGTATTTTTTTTTTTCCATACTACACTTGACCATTGCCAGGGCTAGACTGCACAGTATTGATCGATCATTAGCAGGACTGTGTAAAGGATAAAAAATATCAACAACAAGTTTCAAGAAAGGATATTTCCAAAACAAGTAGCACAAATAATTCCAAACCGTGAGAACAATGAAACTATTTACTGGGCAGAGATAAACAATAGATGTCTTTAAAACTGTAAACAATAGATGTCTTTAAAAAGTCTGGAAGGGGGCTCTAGAAAATGTAGCATTATTTAAATAATCAAGACTAAATGGCACTTAACTGCTACAGCACAGGCCTGTATTCAGATGCTGATATTAAATTAACTGAGCTTTGATTTTTATTCTGTCTCAAACATACAGAATATCTCCATTAATAATGTACATTGTATCTTAGAATATCTACAGAACTGTTAGCTCAGTTGTTATGCAAGGTTCATCCCCAGTCTATAGTTTTCTCCCTTGATTTAGAGCTTCACACTGAGACAGGTGGTCTGCCAGATGGACGCCTCAACTGCATTAGAACTCCAGAGATTTTTTACGGTATTACATCGCCATTTTAATCATGTTTAGAACCAAAGTGCTAGCCTAAAAGCTATGAAATGTGGTTTCTCAAACTTTTTCTGAAATACTACCATGCATACTGAATTATTTCCATTATCTTATCAAAGGACAAAGAACCCGAATAGTAAATGTTTCCTATCAAACAGCATTGCGCAAAACCAGTAGCAAAATGTACTGATTAAAGATGTACTTTCCTCCTGTAATATAATTAAGAAGGATGTAAGCAAAAGTGCGTCGATCGGCTAGCCACTAAATCACATTTGGCATCTCCATAAATAATGAAACAGATAAACAGAATTTTAGCTAGGGCATATTGCCACAAGGGTAATTGAATTAACATTAACTCCAAGTCCACACGTTTACGAACAGTTTGGCTAATACAATGTACTGATAAAATTATTACTATAGCAATATTTGCTATTATGCCATTTAAATAGCTACTGAAGATCCCACGGGTGCAGTCAGTCATACACAATGGCCAAATCACAAACACACAAAATCAGAGCAGAATACAAAAAAAAAATACAACTTTTATTAACTTTTAACATTAGTGGGACTTACAGGGGACATGATTCTTTAAGAGGCACTTGTGTGGGTGATAAAGAAATGAATATTCTGATAAACTTGCATGTATGCCATTTCCTCAAATTATAAACAATTCTGGGAATAATAAAATGAATGAATCTGTGCAAGCAGTATTAGAACTTTTAGAAGTACATGACATGTAAACAAAACTTAAATGATCAAATCTTATTAAATCATCCCCACTTTTAAGTATGAGTGCAGGACTTACAAAAATCAACCTGACTGCTCATGTGGATGGACAACTGGAATGTCAATTATGTATTATTTTTATATTATATATATATGCAAGTGACGTGTTTTAAATGGGCCAAACCAAAACAAATGTAAGAATTTAGTGTTCTGGAGAGAATCCAAAAAGTACTATTTCCACCAGTTTTAAAAAGATAACCTTAGAGCAGTGATGGATAATGTTGCCTTCCCCACACCCAGATTTTTGTGGACTACGTCTTCCAGGATTCAGGGGGAATACGAAGTTACCATTTAGAGGCCCCCATCACCTTGTCAACATAATCAGACATGATATTTGGGCAATATTTCTCACTCATGTAACAATGACAGAGATAATGGAGATTATGACTATGATACATCTCTGGACGACCAGAAGGCTTTGCATTGCCAAGGACAGATTTGACATTAAAGATCTAAACATTGCTAGTGCAAATAATGCTTCCTAGAAGAAGTCTTAAAATTGAGTGGCTTTAGTTCTTCAATATCCTTTTCTTTGTCTTTTCCCTAACATTTTCTACAAATTGCCATGAATCAGAAACCCCTTCCCCTAACTGCAAATATAAACCTGAGAAAAGTAGGATATATTTAATAAAAAAATAGCTGGTGAAAGCAACAATGTAAAGCCTGTAAAGCTGCAGCTAATCAACATGGAGTAGAAATGAATTCAACGGCACCTTTGTCCAAACGAGTAACTGTGTGTGTATGTATATATACACATACAGTATATAAGGAGACTGGAGATACAGTATACACACATATAATGAGTGCCAAGCAGATCAACTGATCCTGTTAGCCGGTATAGTACAATTCTGACGATCTTTCATCGAATATCCAATAAGTGCGTAGTCGTCACATCAACTGTTTATTTTGTTGGACATTAAATCATATCGAACTGTAAAAAAGGAAATAAAATAAAAAAAATAAAGTTAAAAAAAAACAACAACAAAAAACTATTGTGACTGTGAATGCAACAAGAATTTAACTAAATGCACCCTTACCAAATCATCCACATCCTCTTCCTCGTCTGCTACGCTTATAGGTTCTGTTTTCTTTTCTTCTTGAGTCAAGAACTGAAATGGGGGTTGGGGGAAAAACAGCTGTTAGACAAACAAGTCATGGACTCAGATCGGGTAGAACTGTGCAGGATAAAGCAAGAATGTGCATAATAGACTGATTGCAGCGAAATTATGAAATATACACGTGATAGCGTTTATTGGGTATACTTTGTGATTCCCTTTTCAGTTTGTAAATTATAAAGAATCTGGCCTCCTTTCAGTTTCACCAGTCGTTTAGCTTAACTTCAGATGTGTGAAACATTCTGGAAGTGGCGTAGTACTCAGGATAAGCGAGGACAAGAGTGGCCTTAAATGTCTGTACAACGATGAGTTCTAAATAGAATTATAACAATGTAATGGAAAGAGAAAACAGACAAACATTTATGATTTTACAAACTAAGGTAAAAATGCAATATTTTCTTATTTTTCCCTTTTAAAAATAACTATATACTTTTTGTGTTCTATCAATGAGATACTTTGTGGACAGCCTACGGAGACAGGCTTCCTATCTCTCTACACCAGATGTCAAGTGCTGATAGAGAACACAAGACATTCTCCTGGAAAAAGACATTGATGCCACAGAGGAAGCGTGAGAACTCTGCAGCTTGAGAACCTCAAATTAACATTGTTATAATTGATAAGAACAATTCCCCAAGTACCACCCACACATGCAATCACTCATTAGCGTGTCTACATATCCTTTCATTGAAATGTCCCCGGCTGCAGGGCATACCAGCTTTGCTTCTTCAGGAGTCACAGAGCTACCCTTCGATTCTTCACTCGTGATCAGGGAAATGTCATCTGGTGAAAAGACAGAAATGAGAAGCATGACAAACATGAAACACCCCGAGAGGCTTCGCGAGGGATGTGGACGTGCAGACAAAACATCAGTTTTCATCGACTTCACTGACCTCCTGACAGGCAGGCAAGGCAAGGTAAAGGCGATGGAATATCTACCAACAGTTAAAATGGTTTCTCTACAGACACTAACATTACAATGCTAGCCTAAACATTAAAATGGACTAGTACCCAGGTTGTGCATTTTACAATAGAGCACTGTGCAAGGATTGCAAGATTTAAAACTGCACGTTTTTAGTGTGTGTGATATTCCTTTAATTTTTTTTTTTATATATAGTGTGGTGTTCGCAGCAGAATCACTACTAAAAAAATGCAAGTTCTCCTCATAGCCCGAGCATGGAAATCCACGCTACCACCAGATTATACAGCCCTTATCTCACAAATCTCAAAGAATTGGGAGTATGCGGCTATGGCAAATACATGTATCAGGGCAAACCCACTCACAGAGAGAGCTATATTAATATGAGATGAATATGTAACACTAACATCCAAGAGAGGCAGCATTCTATGTTTCTATGTTTCAGTAGTGTCGGAAGAAAGAAAACAAAAAAGAGACTGTGAAGTATCGGAGACACACTCCCCTCCCCGACAGGCGGAGAGAGTGTTACACATAGAGTACATGCTTACTTACCCGTAAAGGTGGCAGCGAACTCAGGCTCTTCCACACGCACTATACTACGTCCTTCTACCGGCAAGGTTTACACCCTGTTCTTACCCGGTTCCCCTTCACCCTTTCCCACATACTCTATCCACATCCCTGCCTTGCTCTTATAACTACCTTTACCCGGAATATGTAACACATGAGAGTAAGAGGATATCAATACTCCACCAAACTCAACACAATACTCAAACCCACCAGGTGATGCATTTAGATGCTAGTGGTGACGGCACAATATAAGTTCTACCTGTACTTCAGATAAGAATGACTGGGACCACTCTTGCGTTGCAGAAACCAATATAACTAAGAAGTAGCCATAAACATGTGTCCAATAATGTATCTTATTGCTTGTTTTTGTAAGAAACAGATGTTGATATATTGCACGATACCTCAAATGAGAAAGTCACTATGTATATAATTTTTTCCCCCGATAAACATCCCTATTCCTTTTTCTGTACCCCCCCCAATGAAAATACTGAATAAAAATGGTCAAACTGAGAAAAAAAAAATGCAACACACCAGCATGTTTATAATTTTTTTTTAAATGTTGGTTAAATATAACCAATGTTTTTATACTACAGAAACCTGTGAGAGACAAAACAGACAAAACAGTCTTCTAGCTCCCCATCTTCCTTATGCGTGTTATTGCATGATCCAGACCGCATATACTCCCATAATCCCTTTCATTCTGGACAAGTGTGAATGCAGTTTACAAGTGACAGAAAGTAAAGAGTTGGGCAGATGAGAGACTAGTTTACCTCTGTAACTTTACTGCAATGTTGGAACAGTAAAAGAATAAAACAAAACACACAATATTAACAAACACATTCTTTACCAAAGCAGCTATAACAACCAGCAATTCAATGTCACTTCTAAAATAATCCACATATGTATGTACCTTGTACAACGATTTCCCAGAATTCCATCAATTTACTGCCTTCAGTCTTCGCTTTCAGGGACTGGAGGAAATCATTAAAGAGTTGAACCTGAGACATCTTCCATGTAGCAAGAAAATAGAAATATATATTAAAAAAACAGCTTGTTAGAGTTTATATTTTAACCTTTAAATTGTCACGTGTAAGCTCTTTGCATTTGAAAAATCTTGTATATATTATGCACTCTTAGTAATATTAAAAAGTTATGAAATGACTTTTACTCTGTCACCTGGACATTTAGAGATATAGGAATGTGATGATGGTCTTCCTTTCAGGATATAAAGGACTAATCCTTAGCAGACATAGCTCTGTCTTACATGGGCCATTACTGAGCATCACAAAGGACGTCAGCGTGCACAAACAAAAGTGGCATCAAATAAAAGTGGAGAACACAGCTAATATTAAAAAAGGTCAAGAGCTATTTATTTTTAAAAAATAATTACTATGGGAATATTGCACCTACCCGCACAGCTTCAACTCGGAATGCTTTGATACATTTCATAGCCTTCAGATAGTACTGCGTCTGTTTGATTTCCAAGCATTCGTTGACACGATTAATCAGCTGATTGCTCACTAGAAAAAGAAGAATAATACATTTAAAACAAAGATGCAGAATAAGCACAAAACATAAGCAGTAATCCAAATTTTCTACTAAAGACCAGATCTGTGAATGCAAATGCATAAATAATTAAACTAATATACACTAAAAAAACATTCTAATGGGAAGACAAAAACCTGTAATTCCTTCTGTAACGGCAATTACAATGCGTGCAAAACTGCAGCAATGCTGAGACTGCCATTATTGCAGGGAACGTTTTTTTTCTTTTTAATATTGCGCTGCTCTCTCTGACAAATGTCAGTAGGGTACAAAACAAGGTGTGATATATATGGAGACAGGTCACTGGAAGTCAAACAAAGTACATTACAATAAACAAATTAGACATTTTGATTCTAAACAGTAACACGTGGGGGTGAGGGCTTTAACCCCTTAAGGACCAAACTTCTGGAATAAAAGGGAATCATGACATGTCACACATGTCATGTGTCCTTAAGGGGTTAAAGACATATTCTGTGGCAAAGTAGTAAAAGTGAGGTTATTGCAAAGGTAACAAATAAGACACTCCTGGCTCATTTTCAAACTTTCAGACCGAAGGACATTATTGCTCTTAAAACATCACCTCAGTGTTCTGTGAAATAAGTGATACAAAGTAAAGAGAGAGGCATTTAAACAAGCAAGCCTTGGCTGGAAGCAATACAGTAATAAAGATCAGTGAGTGTCAAATAATACAACACATTAAGTGATCTCTTTTTACTTTATTATCTTGGATGCAAGTTTGTCTAATAGATTTAATGGTCCTTAACATGCTTAGCGTAGTTGTCTTACTGTATATAAATATTTTTTACAGCCATCACTAATGAATGCGGTTTCCATTTTTAACACTTGGCTTCCCAAGTCAGAGTTTAACTTAATACTTTTAACTTTTTTGACTACTAAATGATGCAATCTAAAATGAGCAAGTCATAAAGACATCATTTTACTGTCCCCTTTTTGCTCCTTTACTGCCTTACAAACCTTTGCGCCACTGGAGTGTTAAATTAAAACCCCAGGCACTCAGATTGCATAGAAGCAATGACTGTGTGCACAGAGTGCTGGTTCTTGTCAGGAAGCCATTGTTTTTTCAACGTTACCACCTTATCGAGAGAATCATAGAAAGATTGACAAGTCAATCGATTCAAAGTGGCACGCAAAAGGTCTCTTGTGATTGGTTGGAGCACAGATACAGTTATAAAAAAATAACAGCCTGAATAAGAGAACTCCACGTAAAACAACCAAAGCAGCTCTGCCAAAAATGAGTTTATTCAATGTGCTTCTGTATAGCCCCATTTGTTTGTTTTTCTGAATGCTGGTTTTTGTAATATACATAAGTGAAAGTAAAATAAAGGCTCTAATTTGTAAACTGCTGTATATAAAGAATGGGAGAGATAAATATTTTGGATTAGTCGCAATTGTTATTTCGGGGCTATATATTGCCTTCTCTCAACCCCCTTTGTCAGTAAAAAATTAACGTTAACTAATGTTTACTCACCTTGGTTCCAAACACTTTGACACCAGCTCCACATCCTGTGATGTCAGCTTCCAAGCTGACATCACCCCCGAACACCTCCAATCCTTTGCTTCTAAACGAGCACGAATGCAAAACGAGATTGGAACTAGGCACGCAAGGCCACATTCTGCACTCCTTCAACCAAATGCGGTTATCAGAATCATTTGATTCCAGGACCGAGTTTGAATTAGTTCTGGAGGAGGAAGCCCCTCTAATTGCTGTCAATAAGAATACCACCAGAGGCCACATGGTTAAAACGACAGGACCACTGCACCCAGACTAGTTAATTGAGAAGAAGTGGTCCAGGTGACTTTAGTGGTCCTGTAAGGGAGGAGGAGAAAAAGAAAACATCTAGCAAGAATGCTTTGAGGTGTACAATAAAAAAGAAATAATCAGAAACCACAATCGCCTTGTTCATTACTTTCGATTTTTGATGCCTCTGCCACATTTCGTGTTCACTACTTAAGATCATGTCTTCTAACTGCACAGACACATTGTCATTGTATGGACCGCAATACAAAGCAAATCCAATAAACAATTAACTGGAGCAAGAAAAATTTCATTAAGGCCAAAATATTCTTTCGACGTGATTTCCTTTTATGAAAGCCTAGATCCTCATAGTAAGGATACAGCTATTGATCCGTGTAATCATGCCATAGTATTGTGCGGTTAGACTCAGCAGGGATGCCTCAAAGAACACTTAGCTTGCCAAATGCAACTGCCGTAGCCCTTGTGCATCACGGTTCTCTCTTTGATGGCACACAGCAGACACCTGCAAAGCAGTATTTTAGCAGTGGCTTCTACCATCATACGCTTGCTTTAAGCATAAGGTAATAATAAAAGAACTGACTTTTCCCAATTTCAACACCGACAAACATACGTGAAGTTCTGAGAGAATCCTATTGTGACCAGCAAATTGCTAATATTTCTCAATTAAAGTACTATGCAATGTGGTTTAAATGAGTGAGTGAAATATAATAAAATAGTATTAAAGCACAGCTTTAAAAAAAAATAAAAAAATTTAAAGACTTGTTTTTCGCTATTATTTCTAATTTTATTTTCTAACTTTCTACTTCAGGGAAACAAATGTAGTCATCTGCTCTGAATGTTCTGAATACTGGCCATGATTTCATAGTCTCAAGTATCAAAGGTCATGCACAAGAATATCAATAGATATTTAGATTTGCGTTGAATGCCAAGCTGTGCCAGGACTTACTTGCATTCAATTTATTTAAGAAACAAAAACTATTTAAGAACTATTAGAGATGTTTTAGTTATACACTGGAATGTACCATTACTTGAGAAATGCCATTTCCTCTATGGCTGTTGCTGCCCTAGCGGACACACTACTCCAACACGGTAGCAGATTTTTTCCAGGGCATATACCAAGAAATCAAGAAAATCTCAGAATGCTTTACCAGGGCTTGTACAAGTTATGGCGCCGCTGACTGTCTTAAAGGAGCACTATAGGGTCAGGAACACAAACATGTATTCCTGACCCTATAGTGTGAAAACCAGCATCTAGCCCCGCTGGCCGTCTTTTGCTTACCTAAATATAGTAAAATCTTACTTGTATTGAGGTTTGCAGCTTTTGGCTCTGCACCTGTCTGTCTTTGACATGCCTGCTGTCTGCTGACATCCTCAGAAGTGGTGGTCTGAGCCAATCACAATGCTTCCCTATATGATTGGCTGAGACAGTCATGGAGGCAGATCAGGGGCAGAGCCAGCACAAATCAAACACAGCCTTTGCCAATCAGCATCTCCTCATAGAGATGAATTGAATCAATGCATCTCTATGAGGAACGTTCGGTGTCTGCATGCAGAGGGTGGATACACTGTGCAGCACTGCCCCAGGAAGCACCTCTAGCAGCCATCTGAGCAGTGACCACTGGAGGTATCCCTAGGCTATCATGTAAACACTGCATTTTCTTCTGAAAAGATAGTGTTTACTGCAAAAAAGCCTGAAGGCAGTGATTCTACTCACCAAAAAAATTCCACAAGCTGTAGTTGTTCTTATGACTATAGTGTCCCTTTAATAATTATACAGGATCTCATCAGTCAAGTAAGACAGCGAGGAGAAACTGAACTATGCTTTATGGGAGGTACTTGCTTTGATATCTCCAGGTTTAAATGAATCGAGAGTGAGAGAGAGAGAGAGAATAACTTACCATCCTTGAAATTGGTGGTTTTCTGTCTCACCAACAAACGGAAATCTTTATCTGGACTGACACTGCCCACCTGAAAAAACACAACAGAACTCTCAACTCTCATATTCACAATCTCCATTATTAAATAAACACGTTTAAACTTAAACACAAAAAACACTGGAAGAGCGATCAGGATGCTCCTCGTTAAAACCTCTGAAATGTGCTTGTTAGCAATGCAAACAGTGTAAAAAGCGATTTCGACTGCCTAATGTTAATAAGATAATCAGTCTGCTCGAGTCTTTTAACTCTTTGCTGAGAGGTGCCTAATGCATTGGTTTGCAATGTGTTTGGCACATCTGTGGCATTCAAAGCGTTAAAGCCCACTGTAAAAATCGTTTTTTAATAAACAGATTCCTACAACCTAGAGGGTACTAAGGGAGGCACTGAACCGCACTGTAATTACACAGTTGGATTGCGAGCTGTCATTTGGACATTGTTAGCTTTTCACGATTGGAACTAATAACATTCTGCACTTGACTAGCATCAACAATCAATAAAGAACTATCTTACAATAAAGGGAATATTCATTTACACATAATTTCCGCCCCCCCCCATACAAATATTCCTCTGTCTTATCGTATTTCTATCCAGAAGTAACATTACTGTTTATTTGTGTTCACATTAGTACCACAAGCACATTGCACAATGATTCGGTCATGCCGAGCACACTGCGAGACAGGAGAGACGTGTGTTTTAAAAATAGCGACTCAAAGTGCCTTTAGCACGTACTGTGAGCAGACATAGTGCAGATAGAACAGTGAACTTAGATTCATTGAAAATGAAAACTGGATTTGCTAAATCTGGGCAAAAAAATTGCCAAATTGAGAATTTAACTGAGTTGGATAATGTTTAATTATAGCAAATGTGGTTTTCAATGCCCCACAATACACTGTTTAGAAATTAAAGGATTTATACAAAATAAAATGACAGGAGAACACACACAGTCCCACCCCCCTCCCCCCCCCCCACTGTGGAAAGCTTTGTGATGAAGATGTGATTTTATAATAAATGCCATTTCGCGAGGATGGTTGAGGATCTGTATTTCAAGGTCCGACAGTTTCAGTGACTCACAGAATGATAAGTAACTCATGCGTTCCATGCACCCAGAGTCCTGCCTAAAATGGAGCCATTTACACTCAATCTTCATGACACAGATTTGGCATGAGTGGGAAATGGCACAGACTGCAAGGGCAGAGCAATGAATCACTCCTCTGGCATGGGGCGCAGTGTTTCCTTAGCAATGTATCCGCAAAAGGCAGGTGGACGCTCATTGCTTACTTTACCAATGCTGGATAAAAACATCTGCCAAGAAGAGGTGAACTACAATTCTACGAAGTCCGATTTATAAAAGTCTTACATACAGGTCTACCTTCCTTTCTCAGCTATGAGCCTGATTGTAATAACTTAACACACAGTAACAAATTAAACCCAAATCAGATATTGTCTACATGCCATTACAGAACAGAAATACTATGCAATGAACTGCATAACTTTCCTGCACAGGTTATCATTCTGTCCATGTATATTTACTTGAGCTATCCTGAGTATTGAAACAGCCCTGACTCTGCGTCATCAACTTGTTACCATGTGGTTACCATGCTGAGAGTAACCTTTTAATCAAGCCTAAATCACTTTCTATCTGCAATTAGAAAAATAAAATCAGATAATCAACACAATAAAACAGTACAAACAATATGCTACTTTAACATTTTATTTTATACAAATCCATGTAAAACAGTATTTCCATATTACTGTCATTTAACCAAGGATAAGTATATTTCGCAGTGATTAGCATTTGAACATGTAATATTTTTATTGTGGAGGCGGCCATCTTGGAACTGCATTACAATTTTTAAACCCTCAGTGACAGATACTGATAAAAAAAGGTTTCTGACAGCCAGTTAGATCCTAGAGAGATGTTGAATATGCAAGGTAGTCGACAAGTCTAAATTTGTAGGAGATCAACATGATTTTATTTTAAAAATTATCAATAAAAACGATCTGTAAGGGATATTTAATTTATAAAATGCTACATAGTGGTAGAAAGAGAAGTCTAATTACACAAGCACTTTACACCGCCTGGCATTAGAAGCAGAAGTCCTTTCGTGCCCCAGTTCTTACAATCTAAGGGACTATGACGGCTATTGATTAAAAGCAATTCAAGGGCAACATTCTAATAGTCTAGCAATCAACAGGATAATTCCACTGGCTGCCATGGAGACTGCTCCATATTTAGAACTTTAGCTCCTGAATTTATACATAACCTCCTGAAGGTCTAGGAAATCTGCAAAAAGTATTATTTTAAGTCCTTCTCCCATTAAATATTTAAATAAAGCAGGATGAAGCCATCCATCTTTACGCAAACATGCTTGCAAGAAACTTAAAGGAAAATACTGCGTTCATTAACACATTCAGGAAAGATGACAAGCCAGGACTGTCATTATGTAATGGGATTTCCCTAATCACTTGTCCTGAAGGAGTGAAAGGGAATGCATTCTGAGAGGTAATGAACGCAGTCATGTGTTATTGCTATCTGGAGTGTAAAATCCCGCTGGGTTTTTTGTATAACATTTCCATGGAGGTTAGGGGACTTGTCTTCCAATCTCCTGAAGGATTTGTCAAACCCGGTTTTTGTTACACTATCAGCTTATTGCCAAGAGATAACTGCTTTTCATTGTAGCATTGTCATTGTAAAACGGTATTCTAACAATTTTCATATTTTTGGATGAGCTATTTAAATGATTTTATGTTTGAATTATTTAATATTTAGAATTTTTTTAAATATATTCATAAATGTTTAATATATTAAGAAATTGCTTAAAGGACCACTCTAGGCACCCAGACCACTTCAGCTTAATGAGGTGGTCTGGGTGCCAGGTCCAGCTAGGGTTAACCCATTTTTTCATAAACATAGCAGTTTCCGAGAAACTGCTATGTTTATGAATGGGTTAAGCCTCCCCTATTTCCTCTAGTGGCTGTCTCATTGACAGCCACTAGAGGCGCTTGTGTGCTTCTCACTGTGAAAATCACAGTGAGAGCACGCAAGCGTCCATAGGAAAGCATTATGAATGCTTTCCTATGTGACCGGCTGAATGCGCGCGCAGCTCTTGCCGCACGTGCGCATTCAGCAACATGGGAGGAGAGAAGGAGGATCGGAGGAGGAGAGCTCCCCGCCCAGCACTGGAAAAAGGTAAGTTTTAACCCCTTTCCCCCTTCCAGAGCCGGGCGGGAGTGGGACTCAGGGCACTATAGTGCCAGGAAAACAAGTATGTTTTCCTGGCACTATAGTGGTCCTTTAATAACTGATATATAAAGATGTATATACGAGATGTATTTTAATACATCCCAAAAAATTTTTAAAAGTCTATCCGATAACATTAAATCATTTGAAAAGCTTATCCAGGAATATTACATTGAAGTACATGTCATTTAGACAGCCTCGTACCAATGTGAATCAGAAAGTTCCACCACAGGTTTAATCTTAGAATATTCCTTTTAGAACATAAACAGCAAAGCTCTCCTGTGGTATCCAGCGGTTGACGTGTGTTAAAGGTAACCACATCCACTTCAATATGTCATGTCACCTGGAAAGGTCAAAGCTGACATGCAAGTCTCAGAGGTGATTTCCATCACAAGTGGATTCCCAGACTGATTTTCAATCAGCTGTGACTGAGCTGTGTACAAACCTGGTTTCAGGATCAGAGTGATGCAGACTGTGAGCTAACACTACGCACACCGTTAAATCGGTAAAGCCTAACCCTGCCTCCTCTTTTTACACGTCTGTAACATTCTGAAAAACGGATGTGGGACTCCATGGAGGTGAAAAATTACATGTAATCACCTGAAAACTATCACACTACCTGTAGATTTTTTGCATTAATGCAATTTTGTCTTTTCTCCTTTTCTGTGACAGGTTCAGTTTAAAAGTATGAAGTTTCAGTCTAAGTGAGTACAGCTGGGCGCTATAAATCAGAATACTCGTTACGGGTGGTCCTATGTTGGATTCCCAAAAAGGATTCCTTACAGCATTCTGAGGGTCAATGATGGACATGACAGCCTCCAGGGATACATTATATTATCATTATTTTAGAAATGACTCTACCATGTGAAGGAAACTAAACAAAGTTTAGCTAGAGCAAAGTTTTACCCTGTTTGGATTATTGCTGCAATACATGGTGTGTTGCAATGATTGTTAATTATTTTTGAGCTTGTAGACTCTGCACCAATAGTACAGCTACATGTGATGACGTTACTGCTGCTACATTACAAAGATGGCGGTTGAACTACAATTGCCAGAAACTATTGCTTTGCACATAAAGCACTGTATTTGGTATAGAACGTTAAAATTATTTTGTAATGACAGATTCACTTTAACTGAACCTCCCCAAAGGCAATGAATCAGAAGAAATGTTAGAGATAAACTTCCTCCCTCTATTAATTGAGCTTTGTAGAGGTTACATTACTGAAACACTCAGCTCTAGTCCTATCAGCGTCCCTCCCGCTGTGTGAATAGATTGAACCTATTTGGGGACACTTCCCAAAGCCAAGCAGTTCTCCCTCATTGCCAGCACATTGGTGTCTGCCCCTAGACAGCAGTTGCTCTGTTCCTAGTCTCCTCAATCCATTGTAAGAAGTACTGGCTACAGAGTAACAATAACAACCAAATCATTGCGGCTGATGTGCCAGAGCAGAAGTTCCGCTTGTTGGAGGGTTCCCCTACACTCCTCACTCCCTCAATTGTTAGCATAGAGGTAAATGCCGAGGAACTGATTGACAGGTGAGGGAGGAGACTTTATTATTACATACATTTTTCTTCCAGTCTTTACAAACCACTAGCAATTCTTCTTGCGCGATATATAAATTAATTTAAGTTACTTTACAGATATATAACATATCAGGACAGGGACACTAAAACACAGCAAGATTGGCTTCTTCGGGGCAGAAGCTGCAAAAATAATGCAACAAATCTGGGAACTTCAAATACGATTTTATTATTAATTTATCTGAGATTTTTTAATATATTGTTTTCTTTGTTCTTAACACTCTCTTTTATAATACATCAATAAAAAAGAGAGGCCCACTTATTGCCTGGAGTGTCCTTTGAAACACAGTCATTATTATTACTATTTATAAAGCGCCATCAGATTCCGTAGCGCTGTATCAGCCATTGTGCCTGAATTTAGCCACATGAACTTACACATATAAGCTGATGGCCCAGAGGCATCGCAGGGCATTTGTACGGCTCACACTAGTTATATATACATAACATTATTATACGGCCTGGGAGTAAACGCTGCTATCCATAATTACCCACGGTGAGAGCTGCCAGGCTGATCGGGTGTGAAGGATTTAGCTCACTGTAGCAGAACTCAATCTATGGTTCTTGGCAGTGCCACCGTACTGCAATCACAGTCCTCAGTCGGCAGAATGCTGGCGACAGCCTTAACATTAACCGTCTGAGTTCAAAGCCATCCACCTAACTCTGGCGCCCCCCTGAGGCTGCAAGCTGGAGGCAGTGTATAAGTTTTAGATGCAATTTTTTAACACAGTTCAAATTAAAACAGACGTTCGAAAACACTGCCTCAGCCTGTGTTTAAGGAAAGTTATCAGGAGTCTTAGGAAATTTAAAGGGTTGTAAAGCAATAATAATACATAAAGAAAAAAAAAGGTTTTCTTAATTGCTCAGAGATATTTGAGTACAGAAATGAGGATTTAATTTTTTATATCAGTGAATGAAATTGATTAACAATGAAAAACCTAGCTGCAGGGACAGAGGCAGAGTCACATAAAGTATTAATCCCGAGACTGCACAGTCACATTACAATGAGTGGGTGACGTATTGGTAGCGTTTTACAGCTGACATCACCCTGACTCAGAACACATTCTGTAAGATCGAAAAGTACAACATTCTATGAGGCAACAATTGGTTTTTTGGGGCTTAATCATCAAATATTGCCGCACTTCTTGGTAATTAGTAGTGAGTGCATTTACAATTTACCTAATTTATTCTCTTCTCCACCTAATGGCAATCTCAAAGCATTAGCGGTCTTCCTGAGCTCATTTCTCTGAGCCTTTGATTTTGGTGTGTTTACTTTTTTAGCTAAACAGAGACTTGTACTGAACCAACAATGAAATACCACATCGCGGCTGCTTGAACACGCGTATGCGCTAACCCCAGGGGCGTTTTGCAACCTACGACCTTCCGTCACGTCTCTCAAGCAACAATAGACACCTGGGTGACGTGCGCCATAGTTCCATGACGAAAGGGCAGACCTAGGATGTACAGCTGGAATGAAATCAGGAAAGATTATCTCCCATGGCAACCCTGCATGACAGCCAACCCCATCCACCAATAGGGTACTATGGGAGCATGTGTGAGTAGGTGTGTGTTACACCTGGCACCCTATTTAAACCTTGAACAGCTAAGCTGCCATTGCTCAGTTATTCTGTGCTCTATCGCTACTATACTTGTGATTCCATTGTACAGCGCTACGGAATTTGCTGGCACTATATAAATAATAATAATTCCTGATTTCCTAAGTTTTCCTGACCTCTGGCCTATCTTACCTTTTGTGGCCTAGATATGGACTACTGGGTTGTCTAATCATGATCTTGCCTTGCTGTTGCCAGATTTGTTGCTCCGGACTTTAGTTTATTTTTTTTTGCTATTACAAGTGTAAGTCTGCCCTTTTGAATTTTATGCCACTACACCTGACAAACATAAAAGTCAAGTTGAAAATATAGACGACTAGGAGATTATTTTCTTTCATTTTATTTAAAAGGGCCCTCTAAACACTAAAACTACTGCATTTTAACGTAGTGGTTTTGGTGCATAGACGCTGTCACAGCACTCTGAACAGTTTGAATAATGCCATGCGTGAGAAATGGCAATATTTATATTTGCTGGTCAGTGTGCCTCTAGAGGCCGCCAATCAGATGCACTTAATCATGAAGGCGTTAAATAATTTGTAGCCTTCACAACAAACATCATAACGGCAGCATGAAGCCGCTAAAACCCTGTGAAAACACCTCATTTAGAAGCATTAGATTGAGTGCTATTAAATGAGATGTATCCAATTAGATGAGCGCAGTGATTGCTGTGCATGCCCAATAGGCACTGGATGATTCTCTATGATCTCACAGCAGAACAAGCAACTGCAGCTTAGAGAACAGGATGGCAATGGACAAAGATTTTTTTAAATAAATTTCTTGCCATCTAGCAGAGTGCCCCAAAAGTCTATGAAAACAGAATAACATTTATACTAGAGCTCTCCATTAGGAAATCTGATGTGAACCAACAAAGTGCTATAAAAACTCTTACAGATGTGATGTTCCCATCGGCCATTTGCATGAGATTGAAATCGTCATCTTCAGTTTTAGCTTTCTTAGCGTCAGGTTCTTCATTTCTTTGGGAGATGGAGAAAGAATGGAAAAAATGAAGGTAAAATTGTAACACATGTACTATAGTTACATGGGCTGAAAAGACATGTGTCCATCAAGTTCAACATTTCTCACATCTGTTTTTGCTGTTGATCCAAAGGAAGGCAAAAAAAAAACAGTTTGAAGCACTTCCAATTTTGCAACAAACTAGGAAAAAATTCCTTCTTGACCCAAAAGTGATTTAACTTAAAGGGACACTATAGTCACCAGAACAACTACAGCTCATCGACTTTATTCTGGTGAGTAGAATCATTACCGTCAGGCTTTTTGCTGTAAACACTGTCTTTTCAGAGAAAATGCAGTGTTTACATTACAGCCTAGTGATAACTTCACTGGCCACTCCTCAGATGGCTGTTAGAGATCCTTCCTGGGTCATGGCTGCCTAAAATGCATCCAAACATTCAGTGTCTCCACCCTCTGCATGCAGACACTGAACTTTCCTCATAGAGATACATTGATTCAATTCATCGCTATGAGGAGATGCTGATTGGCCAGGGCTGTGTTTGAATAATGCTGGCTCTGCCCCTGATCTGCCTCTTTGTCAGTCTCAGCCAATCCTATGGGGATGCATTGTGATTGGATCAGGCCACCACTTCTGATGATGTCAGCAGACAGGTTTTGACTATTGACTATTCTGAGTCAAACAGTATGCAGAGCTACAGCTTCAGGCTTGAATAAAGGTAAGATTTTGCTATTTTTAGGGAGGCATGAGGTGCCCAGGGGAGCTAGAAGGTGGTTTTAACACTATAGGGTCACGAATACATGTTTGTGTTCCTGACCCTACAGTGATCTTTTAACTAAATGGCAGAGAATTGATCAGTGAGACTGCAGGGTCATGATATATACACCAAAACAGATATACAATGGCAGTGCTGACACACAGAGGATTTACTATGGAAGGGCTGCCACGTGGAGCGTTTACAATGGGAGGGCTGTGACATGGAGGATTTACTATGGGAGGGCTGTGACGTGGAGGATTTACTATAGGAGGGCTGTGACGTGGAGGATTTACTATGGGAGGGCTGTGACGTGGAGGATTTACTATGGCAGTGCTGACACACTGAGGATTTACTATGGGAGGGCTGCCACATGGAGCGTTTACAATGGGAGGACTGTCACGTGGAGGATTTACTATGGGAGGGCTGTGACGTGGAGGATTTACTATGGCAGTGCTGACACACTGAGGATTTACTATGGGAGGGCTGCCACATGGAGCGTTTACAATGGGAGGGCTGTCACGTGGAGGATTTACTATGGCAGTGCTGACAAACTGAGGATTTACTATGGGAGGGCTGCCACGTGGAGGATTTACTATGGGAGGGCTGCCACGTGGAGGATTTACTATGGGAGGGCTGCCACGTGGAGGATTTACTATGGGAGGGCTGCCGAGCTTCACAGAAATATACTTCAGTAAATGAAGTAATATGTTACATAGACATTCCACTACCATGTTTACATGGTCTCCCACATAAAGACAAGTGGCAGAGTGGTGGTCCAGGCAGCATTGCTGTAATACAAGAAAGATTAACAGAAAGTGCATTATCAAATGCCAACAGAGCTGCTGCAAATATCCCAGTCTGCCCCAGCCAATGACTAAATCATTCGCTCTCAATGGATGTAATGAGTGCACTAATGTTTAACTGATTAAAGACTCAGTAATTATAGAAATGTTCCTATGAAGTGTGAAGACAGCTTGCTTCAGCCGCCAGTAGATTGTTAAGTCAGAGTTGAGGAAGATGGTGTATTGTTACTGAGGAAGAACAATCAATAGCAGTCTTAGCGGTGAGCAATCAGCTAATCACAGCGCTGGTCAGGAAACCAGGCTGTAATCAAACAAGGGGATCAGCAAGTGGCCTGAATGAAATTCAAGTTTGCGTTTAAAGGTAAATTTCCACAAAACACTAAAATAACAGATGCCATGAATCAGGATGATAGAATTATAACCCCAAGCATATTAACAAACATGTCAAAGTGGAAATGAAAAAACAATTACATCAAACTCAAGTGTTCGGACAATATCAGCGTAAATATATATATGGAGAAATAAGGGATGCACTCTCAGGTCTTTACAGAAAATCTGTTGGTATTTATTAAATAAAAGAGTTACATCATCTGACAGGTATTGGTATTGATAAATACCAACGGATTTTCTGTAAAGACCTGAGAGTGCATCCCTTATTTCTCCATAGATTTCATAACGTGGGATTGCACCAATGCATCAAGATATTTATTTATTTAATGGGAGATAGGGTGAGTGCCAAGCTATCTATTTTTGTATGTATATATATACATACACTTTTTTTTTTAAAAAACAAACAGATTATGGCCATGATCTAATATTTTGGGTAAGCTTTTCATATGAATTAATATTTTGGGATAAACATTTAAAACTATGTTTTCAAAATATTTAAAATATGAAAAATATATCATATCTATACACATCTTTTTTTTTCTTTCAGAATTTTAAATAATGTGAAACAATTATCCAATATTATTAAATCAAGGCCTATATTAGAAATATATAGAATTTCTAATTTGTCACAAAAGTAATTGCACACACTAGGTACCCCCGAGCCTATTTCACCATCCACTCCTGGCTGTTAATATTTTACAGAGAGACAAAACCAATCTAATACTTTCTTACTATCGCTATACTAGAATTACTGTAATCTCACCAACTTCTGCTGAGACACATTATCTTACCTAAAGCTCAGACAGAACGAACAATCCAATTGCAGACACAATGTAGCTGATAGTTGGTGAAACTTACTTTTCTTCGAATATATCCTGTCCGGTTTTCTGCGCCTTCTTCTTAGTTGCCTCCTGTAGAGGAAAGCAGGACTTCAGCTTTTGAAGAGGAGTCTGACACCTGGCTTTAACCTCTGATGGCATCTCCAGCATGTTCAAGAGATGCTGTTCTATGGGTGGCAAGGGTTCATCGGGGTTAAAGGCTTTGAACTGTAAACACTGAAAAGAGAGAAACAAGAATTAAACCTCCAGTGAGCAGCACTGTCCAAGAAGCAAGTTCAACAAAAAAAAACTAATTAAAAGGACAATGTAGGCACCAAGACAAATTCAGTTCATTGAAGTGGTCAGGGTGCTGTGTTCCTTTTCCACGACAGCCACTGGGGAAGCTTCCGGAATCCAAACGGTCTGTTGGTCCGTTATCGGACGTTGGACATCATCACGCTATGCATGAGGACCTCCAGCGTCAGATTTTCTGTATAGGAAAACAATGAATAATGCTTTCCTATAGAAAGGTCTAATGCATGCATGCGGCCATTGCCATGCATGCGATTAGGTCTCCCCCGTCGGCTGTCGGCTGTGCCTGACGGCGCTGGATTCAGGTGAGTGGCTAAAAGGGTTTTAACCCCTTCAGCCCCGCGCACGTGGAGGACCTATTAACTGTCTAGTAGACAGCCACTAGAGGAGGAGTTCACCCTGCAATGTAAATATTGCAGTTTATGAAAACTGCAATAATTACAGTTGCAGGGTTAAGGGTAGTGGGAGTTGGCACCCAGACCTGGAGTGTCCCTTTAAGCACTATTACAGGTCATTGTGGTGGTTATGGAGCAAGGAATGTTTGCATACGCTGTCCATTAAAGGACACTACGGACCCCCTAAAGCACTGCTATAATGCTTTATGTGCTCTCTTTTTTATCATTTAAAAGAAAAAAAAATACAGATTTCAATAGAGACTGACACTTTTATACAATAACTTTGTTACAACCTCCTGGTTTCCAATCAGACAGCAGTCCTGTTACATCCTGGTAGTTAAGCTTAGGTAATGAATACACTCACATGAAGCACACCGCTTCTTTTAACAGATAAACGTGAAGCTAAATACACAGAGACTGATTTAAACTGTTTATTATTTTACTGAATTGTCAGCAAACAAACACAGAGCAACAAATGTTATTAATTTTCCACATGAAACTGCTAAAACTGTGATACAGCGACACAAAGTAATTAGAGTCTGCAATGCATGTGCCCACAATCGCAAATTTTACTTGCATCCCATGGCAATGCTGCACCTCCACCAAGAAGACACTCAAGAGTAAGAGATGTTTTGGAAAAGCTCTGTCATCACAGGTTGCCACGGTAACAACTGAACAATTTTTAGAATATCAATAAATTCAAGAGCAGGTTGAAGAAAAGTGTTTATTGTCTTAATGTTCAGAACACATATGGATTGATACTTTGATAACAGCAGCAAGGCCGATGATCGATCACAAAATGTCTGAAGGTTTTAAATTGGGGTCAGTTCCATTCTTGTAAATCTGAGCGCTTATCGCTAGATTAGCTGCTGAACAATTTTTGTAAAGACAGCAATGTAATGATTACGTAAATCCATTCACTGCTTTCATGTCTGAACCTTGGCACATTTCTGGAAAAAAAGATACCTGGACAATATTATAGCCAAGCAATTAGAAAGTATTGCTTGTTGCCAAGGGTGTGCAAATGCTGCCAATAGGCTGTGACACCCACAGAGGAATTTCTCAACACAATGTAGGAAATTAATTAAATATGAAGCTATGGGTTGCTCTGTATTGATAACAGAAACAAATGTGACAGAAACAAAAAAACAGAATTCAGGATTTCCCTGTGTGAAGACTAGAAAGCGAGAGGGAAGGAGATAAGGGACAAAGAAGGAAGGGTGGATATTAAAGAATATTAAAGATGGGGAATTAAATGATGCCTAATGCATCGAGAGGTCAGAATTGTATGGAAGGTGTATAAAAGGAAAAATTGGGAGAAGGTTTAAAAAGAAGGAATACGATTGGAAAGGGGAAACAAATGATGTATTAAATGGTGGCATGACACAAAAAAGAAAATTGGGAGGAATTAAGGACTACTTTGAGCACTCTTTAGCTGTAGATGTTATTTTGCAGAGAGTTGTCACTTACCACAAGTTATTGCCAGCTATCAGACGGGCTCCAGGAACCTGGACGTGTGCCATGGCAGCACACATACAGCCAGTGGCTGCGGTCAATCTGGGCTGTAAATGGACTGATAGCGACTGCTATTCAGTTGTTTCACTTATTGTAGTTGATGAGAAGGAACTACATATCCCATGAAGCTCTGCTCTTCAGGGATTTATGGGATATGAACCCTCCTACTTCCAATAGAGCAGATTGAGAGGTTCCTAATTGGTGCTTAAGGGCCTTCATCCTGACATGAGTAAACTCCTTCAGATACTACATTGTAGTTCAGTGCATTCTTTTTTCAAGAAAACATTCAGAGTGAAAATACTCACTTGAAACAAGCGTTGGAACTGGGGGTTAGGAATCTTGCTCGGCTTGAATAAATCCTCAAAACCATCTTCATCTTCATGCACCAAACACATACTGTCAATGAGGTTATCTACAGCAGACAGCTGGGTATCTGAGGGCAGGAAGAGGAGATACCAGCATGAGTTGGGGTACAGAGAGAAGAGGATCAATTTGGGGAAATGTCAACACAAAATGATTTTTGCAGAGCGTGTTTTCTTTTACACCAAAGTGAATAATAATGTGTAAGATACAGATTTACAGAAATAATTACTTTCTAAACATTCAGAAAATGGGGATCTGTGAACACAAATGGCACATATAGTGTGTTTTACTAAGAGATATAAAGGAAAGGAAATCAATTGTAGTGAGCAATTTACAGGTCAGGGGTTGTAGCTCTACCTGTTGGAGTAAACTGTTTGTTGTTTTTGAGAGAGGCGAATAAGTACTGCCGGAGATCCTCTGCATATGGGAGCTGAACATACACTAAGCACTTAGAAAGGAAGAGAGAATATACTGATTAGGACGTGCGTCACTGCCCATATTGTCACTACAAAAAGTCAAATTAGATATTTATTCGCTCATTTAACTTTATATGCCAGAACGATGGTCATAATGCAACATTATTAATCCCACAAAGCAGCCAACATGGATATCCACGGAGATGATGAATAAATCAGAGGTCTAAGTCTGGAGCAGGATTATATCCTTATCCATAAGCACAAATACTAAGACACCATAATCACTGCAGATAACTATGTAAATAATGAATGAGACGTAGTGGCGGCACTCAAAATTTGCCATTTTTTCAGCAAAGCAGTGGGCACCGTATTCACTGTACATGTTTATAACTACAATTCTATAGCTTAGACATGACAAGCTGGAAAGTTGACATGTAATTATACTTTGATTAATGTGATCTGAGCAATTCAGCCACAATGATGTAGACATGCTCAGTATAATGCACTTCGGTGGTTATTGAATGGTTATTATTTAAACCCCTACTTTTCAGCCGAATGTACATAGGTCAGATATCTTTTGAATTTATAGGCTTTAGCAATAAATCGTGTTTGTTCTCACATTAGTAAAATAAAAAAAAAAAAGAGGCACACTTACTGCAAATAGAATACAAAGAATATATTTTGAAACCGTACCTCGTATTTGTCTTTAACATGAGGAAAAGCCACACCAACTTGGGGATTCGATCTTCGATCGTAAGCATAACGCACAATGGCCACCATGTCAGTCTCATCCAGGGCGTGAATCAGGGCAGAGAGAGCCACAGTAGCAGCCTGATTAAAAGATTACTATTAGATGAATATTGGCATTGCAGATAGAAAGAGGCAGGTCACACACTTGGACAGCTTGCTATATAGAGATTCAGGAAACAATATGTAAAAATAAAGCATATCTGCTGCAGATATAATGATACAGTGTCTGTGAAAAGGGATGTTAATACATTTTAAGATGAAAGTGTTGCAGATGCAGCATATATTAAACGGTTCTATCAAGCACCATCATCACTTCAATGATTTGAAATGCTCATGGTGCCTGGTGTCGATGCAAATTTTCATTTGTTGATGCACATACAGAGTTTAACTGCTGGAAGTCTAATTTTACCTCCGGTAGTGCCACTGGGGTGTTATTAGCCAAACAGAGACAATAGCTGGCTAATGTTGATTCTGTAAATATTTCTCTGCATGGAATTGTATTTATTGGCTGATAGCAGTCAGCTAATGCTCCCAGAAAATGAATGGCTATGGGATTGGCATTACTGGCCCTAGAGTACCGTCTGCGCCACATGGAAACCCAAATAATTGCAAAATGCTTTGCCCCATTTCTGGGAAATAGCGGGCTATAGTGGTTATGATGCTTGAATTAACCTTTTAAGATAGTGAAGAACACAATGAGAGCTCTGTTATCCTTTCCTCTGCTCAGACAAGGAAAATGCATAATTTAATGAATGACAGATAGCTGATTAATTGCAAGACTGATCCATCCATTAACGAGCCCACTGTCAGCAGCCTGACAGACAGAGGAAGATGAGAAAATATAGGAATTGCATACAATAGAGTCTGAAAATGACTAAATTAATTCTGTGAAGCTAGTTCTAATGCTGAACCTGGAGGAAAGGCGACGGTAACATGTCATACTCAGAATCTGGTCTTCCAGGTAAAATATGCATTTATTGTTTTTTCTGTAGCTCACCTCATCATCCTTTGGAGGAAAGATTTTTACAACTTGATTTCCCATAAACTGAGTTCTGTCAATCTATGAAGAAATAAAGAAATATGATTGGCTTCGAAATCTACCCTTATGGCATTTTCAATTTCCTGTATCAGGCACAGGAAATCCTTCAGCTTGATGTAATGCAATTTGTAACTGTGTAGAACAGCTTACTATCTGCTTAATACAGCAAAATATTTTTTTATTATTTTTTTTTTTTTTTTACAAAAAACATTACCTGTGACGATCTAGTGAAGCCCAAAACCATAAAACATTTTGCGTCTGTCTTATATTTCATCTGTTCTTGATCCACTTTTGAGAAAGGAACAATGTCACTTCCATAACGAAACCCTTTAGGAGCAAATCAAGAAATGATATATTATAATATAATAATATGATATAGCTTATTTATCACAACAGCTGTAATCTGCCCATGGATTAACTGGCAAGTAAAGGGTGCTTTCTGAAATAGAAACCATTTACATTAATCAGTTTCACTGGGAGACGATAGACCAACAGCAGTACAGTCTATAGTGTGTTAATACAGATGTGACGAGACCAATCTCGCCACTGCGCATTGGAGGAGCCTGCTTGCCCGCCTGCTGCCTTTAGACTATGGCCCTATGTTGAAACGCTTGATTTTCCCCTGCAAAGACACAAAAGCCGGGTCATTCGGTGCTTGCTCTGTTTGAGCAGTGATACCCCAGATAGCTATGCCATGGAGCCCATTCGTATAATGAAAGACTATGGGAAAGACTTTGGCTCCATGGCAATTGAACTGTATGTGTGTGATCTGAGCGCCATTCAGTAATAATGTGCGCTCAGATCTGAACTATCTGGGGATATGTTGAATGTACCTGTTTTATGCAATGGCTGCACAGTTATATATTTTTATGTATTTTATTGTCTTTTGCTGCCGTGTGTTCAATTGAGTTTTGCCTCTGTCCTTTGAGAGATATGGATTACTTCCCAATTATCTCCAGGATAGAAGACTCTGTGGAACTGGTTTTGGGCAGAAAAGCCATGCATCATTTGGTCACAAAGGACTACGATCTATCTTTTGAACCACTGGACAAATTTGTATGATTTTGCCGTATGTTTGTATTTGGAGTATGCTGATTCTGAAAATGTAAGTTTTATGTGAATGTGATGCATACTTTTAAAATTATGAATAATGTGAATAAAAACTGTTTTTCTCTGCCTGTGATAATTACATTACCCATTGTGTAAGGTAATTGTATCACAGGCAAAGGGGAGGATTTTGTCTGAGTGTATTGTACGTGTTTATTGGTTGTTAGTGGTACTAATGTGTATATAAGAACAATAAACCCACAGCTCTGTCTGTTCACTGCTTGACCCTCAAAACGGAGCCTTGTCTCGTTCTTGGGGGGATTTATTGTATGCTGTTCCAGTTCGACTGCTAGGAGTGTAAACCTATTTGTATGGTTTTTCCTATTCGGCTGTTTAAAGTATTCATATGTTTGAGAGCATTCATATGCTTCTCCGGTTCGGTGGATTGGTGTCTACAGTAGCTGCCTGTGTCTCTGGAAGGGGAAGATCTTCTCAACGGCAGTTTAACCCTTTTATGCCTGGGGGTGCTGTTACAATAGACAACATCTAAATCCCCTAACTGCAGATAATAAGAGCAAGTGTCTGCTCAAGACTGGTGTATGGTATATGTGAAACATCTAGGGATACTGAAAATACCACCAATAAAAGTAAAAACGGATTCTGCTGTAAATAAAACATAATCAGCTCTAAGGAAAATAAAGTAGGATTGCTCCCAATAAAATAAAATTACAACCTGTTGCCATTAAAATAAAACTTAGTCTGTTGCCCACACAATTAAATAACCAGAGAGAAAGCAGGAAAAAAAAGCGTGAGTCAACCGAGATCCATAGAAAATGTTCAGATTTCTAAAAACTAATTTACAAGGTTCGTCATTCAAGTTGAATTTTTACGACTGCAAAGTACATTTTCAATTTGAGGCCAAAATAGCTAAAATAGAAAAAAACAGCACATTTTCCCACTTTGGTTATTTTGGTGTAAAATGGAAAATATTACTATGAATTTCCAATAATTTGCAGTTAAAATGAATAAACCTCTTATTAATTTTATAAAGAGCCAGAAATACTTTATTGTTCATAGGAAAATAGTGTTTTATCAATCTGCTCTTTGTATACCTTAACTTGTCATAAATGAACAATGTCTTTAGGAACCCCACTCCCTGAACCACTCGGCAGGTCTCCTGATTACATTTCCAATATTATTATTATTTGTATTTACATAAAATCACCTGATGTCAATCCAAAGCACTATTTGGAAAGATACAAAATGGCTGCCCGCTGCCCTAAGACGAGACAAAGACAAAATACCTTGAATGGTGTCATCTTTCTGGATTTCGGTCTCCTCGTCATTATCCAGACAGAACACCGTTTCCTTCTGAACATCCTCTTTATTCAGAGTTTTGGCATCAACGACAGCCCAGGACTTTTTTACCTTCTCCTCTGTGATCTACAAATAACAGAAGCATTATGAATGAAAATTATGTATAGTTTCAGCTAGCCATGCACCCTTGTTATGGATTAACACAGACTTTATAAAACACAGCAATAATGCATATCGCAAGGAAGACAGAGGGGTGCAGCATTTTAAGGACTCCACGAGTATTTTAATATAGAGAATAAAAAAAAACTTAGATTAACTAGATCTCCTCGAGATCAAGTCCATCAGAGATTAGAATAAAACAAATATTTATTGGAGATGAAGGTTTCATCATTGACATGGAACATGATTTATATAAGCAAGCACTGACCAAAAGAGCTTTAACAGTAAATATAAACATCTGCTATACCGTTTTGGATTTGTGCTGCCCTAGGCACAACTAAATTCGGGCACCCCCTTGATCTAAATTTGCCCCACCAATGCATGTCAAGCCACTTTTTTGACTGACAGATCCCCTCACCCCAGCCCCTTATTGATACATGCACTGACATACACTCACTGACAAATACACAGTCATTGGCACACATACTGTTTAACCAACACACACTTTCACTGACAGACACACACTTTCATAGACACATACACTGACATACACACACATTCTCACTGATTTGACACACTCTGACAGACACACACACTCACACACATTCACTGATAGACACTGACAGACACAGACACATTTTCTTATACACTCACCATTTATTATTTAATATATATTTTTTCATATAAAACCACCCAGCCTCCCGACCTTTGGGAGAACTGGAGTGGATTCTGTGCCTGACTGTTGCTGGGCTGGCTGGGCGGGCTCCTTGCTGGCTGGGCTGGCTCTGCGGTCGCTCAATAGAGCTCAGCTCACTCGCGCACCACTTAGTGATGCTGGGGCTGGAGTGATGTCATATTCAGGCTCCCGGAATCACAGAAGGGTGTGCGAAGGAGCAAGAAGAGGAGAGGACAGCGCTCCCTCGCCACCCGGCTAGGATATTAGTAGTTTAACATCTCGGAGGGACCTTAAAGTGGCCAGCCACCCAGCTCTTGGGCCCCCCAGGACACAAAACTAACAAGTCATTTGCCTTGGGGCAGCGTTTTTTGCTGCCCCCCTGAAAGTGCTGCCCTAGGCAAATGCCTTGTTTGCCGTGTGGTAAATACAGCTCTGCATTTCCCCCTTTCTTTTTAAAAAAAATTCTTTATTTTTGTTGTGCACGCATTAACAACATGCAATAAAGTATAACAATAGCATGGCATTTCGAGTAATGGCACAATTTTTAAAATGGTAAAGATAATTCGCAGAGTCTAACAACATAGAGTTAAAGGCAATGTGTGAAAAGAGTAGTTTCCGTTCTGGTCGTAGGGTTAGTTTTGGCATACGTGCTTGTGATCTGGAGTGAGCCTGTAAGTGAAGGCATGGTGTGCGCTTATGTGTCGCATGTGTCGAGGTTGAGTTGGGACCTTGCCCTCTAAGGGAGTAGGTCGATATGCCTTTGTTGCGGGGTACAGGGAAACTCCATTTGTAGGCCATGTGGGTGATTATAAGGCAATGTGGAAGGTGAGGGCTGTACATAGCCTAGGCTGTCATAGGTAATGAAGGTTAACGGGGGAAACTGACGTGTAACCTGGTGAGGTATTTGAGAAGCTCCTTGTTAGTGACCACGTTATGAGGTAGTCGGGGTGGAGTAGGTAGAGAAAGGAGCCAACGTGTCCGGGTTATGCCCGGTTCGGCGGTAAATGGCCGCCGTGTAGCAATCCTGCTATGTGTGTGCAGGAATCCCTGGGTTATACATCCATAGAGGCCTATGCCTGTTAATCAACATTCATCAAAGATTAGTATGGATAGAAAGGAGAACATGAAAAATTAAAGCAACATAAAAACAAAGCGAAAGTCCCGGTTTAGGTGGTCTTCATCCCAGGTGAGCCCCTGGATACTGGAACAAATGGGACAATTTTGGCTGGATCCCAAGCAGTAATGGTCGAGGAGGTTAGGAGTCCCATAGCTGCCAAGACAGTGTCCATCTCTGCGATGTCTGTCGCTTTATATTCCTTGCCTTGGTGTTGGATGAGGAGTACGTGTGATGGTCCCCAACGGTACTTCACTCCCTTGGCTGTTAATGCCGCTGTGAGTGGTCGGAGCTTGCGAGTTGTGGTGGCTTGGACAGTCGGAACATGCCATCCAGCTGCACCCCTCTAGCTTGTTTAGGGGACAGGAGGGCCGCAAAAAGCCTTCTTAGGAGATGGGGAATCTCAGCTGAGGATACAGCATCTGAGAGGCCACTAATTTTGATATGCTTCCACCTCCTTTTGTCCATAGCTGCTAGTTGGTGGGGGAGTGTAGTGTGAGCTGAAGAGAGGTCTTTGACCTGATTCTGTAGCTCTGTCATTTGTGCTGCATGTGCCTGAGTGGTTTGCTCAACTGCTGAGAGGCGATCAGTGAACCCCTTAACATCCTCCCTTACCTGGGAGATCTCCGTGGAGAGCGACTGGCGTAGGTCGGTCAGGAGAGAGGTAAGTATCTCCGTGGTAACTGGGGGACCCGCCGTCGGTTGTATGGGTTTGGAAGGTCTCTTGTAGCCCAATGTCTCAGGGCAGTGGAGGGATGTGTCATCCGAGCTCCCAGAGTAATCCTCGAAGTCAGCCGCCATGTTGGGTCCCGCCGCGCCATGCGGTCTCCTATATCGGCCGTGACCCGCAGGCGGAGGAGTGTTAGAGGCTGTCTGCAGAGTGGTAGGGTGCTTCTTGCGGCTGATGTTGGGCCTTATTGGGCTGCAGTCGACGGAGAGCAGTAGGTATGCGATTGTTAATGCCGAGAGTTGGCTCTGCCCCCGCCCCCGTGCATTTCCCCCTTTCTAAGCCTAATCAACAGAAAAAAAAAGGATAAATGACAGCAACATCTTGAGCCAGTGGCTGTTCCTGAATGGAACCCTGACTGCATCAATATGATATAAGTAAACAATATCACAATATCACTACAAATCATTCCATACAGTTATCTATCTATCAATTTAGTTGTCAATTCTTAAAATGATAAAAACAGCACTTGGCAAGCCAGCTTGAAAATCACATTGTCATGATTCCTTAATTCAAATGAGACTAAACGTGAACAGCTTGGGTTATCAGAAAACCATACAGAGATTTGTAGAATTACAAATTCTAAGTACCGATTTGTATCCCACAATTCGTATAGAAAGATTAGAGCCTATGGTGAGCTGGCAAGGCCAAGCCATCGGCCGTCGTTCAATCTTCTTGAAGATGGACAGTTGTTCCAGGCTGTCACTATATCAAGGGGAAAAAACAGGATGAATAAGAAAAGTTAAAATTGATGAGCCATTAATGTTCATTGATTCATCATCACAATTGCGTCCATAGATCAGGTCCAGAAAAGATTAACAACTTGTGTACAAGATTTTACCTGAAGGTATACACTTCATCCAGCCCATCTTCACCTTCCAAAGAGGACATGATCTTCTGCACCATCTCAATGCCTTCTTTCTGTTCATCAGACAATCCTTTGCCAGGACCTTGTGGCCTACGGGCATTGTCAGCATCCCCTCTGCTCCCTTCACCACGGTCACCATTTTCCACATCTAGAGGGAAGGGCAGGCTGCAAAGAAAGAGAGAGAGAACCAGCTGCTGAGATGTAGAATGTTTATTACAATCAACGTAATGCGAATACTTTAACTATCAAACAGATAAGGGTTAATTGATTTAATGTAGACATACTGAAAGCACTTTAACCAGCAAACACAGCTCTGGGCAGCAAGGCTGAGAGCGCTGTACTAATCTACTAACTTTCTGTGTTACTGAAAATCTTACTTTTACAAACACTACTGACTGCTGCTCCCGCTGTCCAGCATGTTTTTGAAATTAAATTTGCTTGAATTAAAGTGCCATTTGAGTACGGGTACATGGGCATAGCTTTTACACTGGTGTACACATGTTAGTGCCAGTAAAGTGATTATTGAAACTCACAAAAACTGAAGGGTTATCCCAGCTTTTTTGAGGTTAGCCACAATAATCTCCACTTCGTCCGGGCTGAAGGGACTGCTGAGGTCCGTAAAGACGGCAATGTGAAGCTTCTCATATTTCTTCCCCCTTGATGAATATACAACAAATGATTAACTTTTAGGTTATTAATATCTGTATGATTCATCCAATGGGCGCAACATGCTGTAGGATGACCGTACTGGGGAGAACGTAAACTACTGAGCTTTAATAAACCAACTAAAATTGTCTGGATCTAATTTATTATAGTATTGGTAGAATTACAATCTTGCTCCACACCCTTTACTTGAGAGGTCATTGACATTACTTATTTGTTAACATGCCGTGGGACACACAAACAACTTGTCATCTCTTCATTGTAGCTGCTCATTATACAGAACTGTAGTACATATCAGGTCATTACAAATAAAGAATTCTACAAGGAGTTACTGATAACTGTAAACTGCAAGTGAAAGGAAACGTAGAGGGCCATGGCAATTTGTGCTCATTGTTTTGGTTATAATACAAGAAACCCTTGTTTTACAAGTGGTGCAAATGTTGACATTTACAACAACCTCTCGACCAACTTGACAGGGTTTGTATTCACTAATAGAAAATTCTAATGAACTGATAACAGAATTCCAACATTCAGACTAAAGAAGCCAAGCGATGATTTTAAGTTGAAGAACTTTTCCTGACTTAATTTGCCTAAACTGTGCAGTTTGTTTTTCAGTTCAATTCACAGTTCACTAAATAAGTTCTAATATAGAAATGGTGAGGAGTAAAAGTGGCACACAAGGTTAGACACAGGCGCTATATATATAACATATTAGGTTTAAGTCCAGTCTAGATATTAGAGCACACATGGCTCAAGCAAGGGTAGATATAACATGTGGGGTGCAAACCAAGGCTAGATATAAGAACATGTCAGGAATAAGCAGGAGCTTAATATAATAACAGGTGACATATAAGGAGGGGTCGGTCAACTCTTGTGTTGATTGGGCGACTCAAAACAAGCCTATCACATGCCCACATATATTTCTTTTACTATAAAATGGTATGTCCACAAGTTTTTAAGCCGGAGCAATGGATCAAAGTACATGATAGCCACAAGGATCTCTTGCGTTTACAGAGTAAAAAACTGTATAGGTGGTAGCTCGCACACATGATACATACATGCCCAATTAAGTGTTGGAGACGTAACTTGGAGGTTGGTACACTGTATCATGTTTGGTGGACTTGTCCCATTAACCTCTTTACTGGGGAGTCCTTATGATCCCTCACCAGAAATGTTTGTTTTCTATGTTTTGCCGCTCAACATGACCAAAGTGTCTGCAAAATTGATTTGCCAGATTCTAATAGCAGAATGTAATTTAGCTGCGAGGGCATGGAAGCCACCGCTATTTCAACTAGATAAGAGTTACATAGCCAGATTTGGCTTAATTGGGCATGTAAATATAACCAAACTGAATTTCAATAAAAAAACACTTTGCACCGGGCACTGTGGGACACATTCGTATGAAAATCTAAGAATCCAAGTCACATATTACCGGTGGAAACTGTGTAGACAGCATCAGACTTGATAAACTTGCTCTAACTGACAGGTTATGTCTCACCTATGAAACCAATGACAAGTTCATGAAACTAATAGTCACAATGAAGGAGGAGAAAAAAAAATCACTTACCGCTGGACCCTTTCCCCCATAAATTTTCTTTAACCCACACTTTATTGTTTATTGTTTTCCTTTTAACTATCTCTGTGTTTATCATTTTACAAACTGGATGTTGTTACGATTGTAATTTAACTCTTATGCGGCAAATAGGGAAATAGAGACATTACCATATCTGAGTAAAGGCTGCTGGGCTTTACTGGTGTGATAAATGCTTAAAGAAATTTGTGATAAGTCCCATGACTGTGAACAATTTGTAAAAATTCTCAAAAGGAAAAAGAAAAAAATGGTCCATGAAATTAAAAACATTTACATCTTTAGTACTTACAAAGTCTCTTTCTGAAGGATGTCCATACACACCACTAGTGCGTCCAAGACTTTGATTGTTAAGGAATAGACACGTTTGATGCATATCAATAAACCATTCATACTACACGGCAAGTTTGCCGAACAGGGACTCTGACAAGTTCTTTATACATATGTATGTAGTGGTATGCTTATCATATAATGTCTCAATGTATATCCACTTATTTGAAAGAAATTAAGCCTTGAAACAGCTTACAGATAAAACCAAAAAACAATTAATATGTTATAGTCCAAACTACGGGATAGAGGATATGTGTGGGTGGTTAATGGAACACTCTGGGCACCATAACAACTTCATCAAAATTAATTTGTTATGGTGCCAGTAGGTCCTGTTTTCGAATGGTTTAAGTCTGTGTTCCAGCGCCGAATAACCTTTCCTCACTGTCCTTCTGGTTTCTCAAACTCTTTAAACTGGAAGGCTCTTGCAGAATCAGGCAGCAGGGCCACTGTTTGGTTAAGAGTGGTCAGCTGAGGCTCTCAACCAATCAGTTGCTGTCCATTCATAAAACTTGGCTTGAAAAAGACATTTATTTTTAAGCCAGTTTTGTAAATGGGGAGGCACTGCTTGGCTGAGAGCGTACTTTAGGGAGGGCATTATAAAGAACAAAGAAACAAATAAAATATATTGAATCCTCTTTGTCCTCAGTAAAGGATGGCCATTTCTCTGCCATACTGTTACACTAAATGCCAAACACTAGAAGGAGGATACAGTCTGCCTGGGCAGAACCTGGCTGAATTACACTTTGGATGTCTTCGAGGAGTTCGAAATCTGGAAGCATCAAATGCCTCTGCACAGTAATGTTCTGGTACTGATCTTCGGTGGCAAGGGCATTATCAGTGCCATCTGTACCAAACAAGACGACTGCAGTTTCATCTTTACTCTCTGCAAAAACCTAAGCAGAAAAGACACATTTATGTAACCTGGACAACATATAACTGTTTCATACTGTACCTAAGAAGGATGAGAACAGAGATTTAGAGTAAAGTAAACCTGGATGGTCATCAACAATGGAGATACTTTCTGTACTTTAAGGAAACCGGTCACAGACTTAGCTTACACTATGCTCCTCCCGCGGTAGATTTTGATTAGCTTGTGGGCACTATCCCAAGCAGGGCAACCTTCATCTATGAGGCCGACATGCTGGCTTCAATGACAGCGTAACGGTGACATCGTTCACTCCATTCCTATACTCCCTAGTCAACACTAGCAGCGATAGTTACCATAGGAACAACAGCGCAGCCGCTGCGGTTAGTATTTATGGAGAGCTGTAGGATGGATTGTGGGACAAAGGATTGACAGGTGGGAGCGATACCTATTTTTAAATATATTTTTTTTCCCTCCCAATCTCTACATTTGCTAAATGTATAGATGAAATGATTTGCTCTGTAAAGAGCAAAAGTACTGACGGGCCTGATAGGTTCCCTTTAAGTCTGTGTATATATATATATATATATATATATATATAGTATAAAACTCAGTCCTCAGAGCTGCTGGCTCTTATTTTTCATGTATGTATTTTCCTACCTGTCTCTGCAAGAACAACATCATAATCTTCTTGGCTTGCTCGAAAGGAGACTCTTCCCCTCGGTTGGAATGGCTCATTGCAAACCCTACATCCATACATAGCACACAAGCGCTCTGTCGGAGAGAAAGCCTGGGTTAGTTAGAAAAAAGGGAAGCACCAACAAAATGTGAATATTAAAATAAAGATCCATGCTAAGAAATGTGACAACATTTTTAGATCCATCTTCTTTTTGTTTTTTTAAGTGGTGTGCTCTATTCCAAGGGCAAAGGCTGTCTGGGGAGGGGAGAGGAATGTTTGTGATAGGTGAACTCTAGAATGTGTTTCTGGACGTGTATCTCAAAATAGGTTATGCCTGTGGGTTTCCATAAGAGCAAACTAGTTCTAATAGAGAACAAAGAGGATTTGAGATCAAGCGCATGCATCTCTCATGAGACTAGTTGTGTAGGTAGGTAGAAAAATAAGCTGAACAGATTTAAAAAAAAATAAGTTTTGAATCTCTGGCAAACTACACATTTTGTAGTTTTTTTTTTTTTTATGCACGTATAGCTTAAACAGTTAGAAGGCTAATAAGAGCTAGGCTTTATTACTCGCAATAGAGATCATTAACAGGTCCAATAGTTGCAATTTATGGTAAAGCGTGTCTCCTGTTATCCAGTTATCATGGATTAAGTATACATGCGAAAGTAATTTAAAATGACTTAGAAGTAGTGTAATTACACTAATCAGCTTACTATGCACCAAATAAAAATAATAATAAAAAATAAACTCTGTAAAATATTACATTAGACAACTCAGGGGAGTATTGAAACAGAAAGGACAGCAATGTTTCAACCTAACAAGAGATCTTTGTCAAGAACCATTCTAGGAGGTTTGTTTGGGGCGGGGAGGAGTCAGAGACAGGTCTAGACTTGTTATATGTATAACATACTATGTGCATTGATATTACTACCCAGTTTATACGTATCATTAATATCTATCTGTACTTGCTGTTTGTATAACATACTATGTGTATTAATATTACTATCCAGTTACTATACATATTATTAACTATGTACTTGCGGTTTGTATAAGAGATACTATGTGCATATTATTATTAATCTCTACGTACTTGCGGTTTGTATTAGAGATACTATGTGCATATTATTATTAATCTCTACGTACTTGCGCTTTGTATTAGAGATACTATGTGCATATTATTATTAATCTCTACGTACTTGCGGTTTGTATTAGAGATACTATGTGCATATTATTATTAATCTCTACGTACTTGCGGTTTGTATTAGAGATACTATGTGCATATTATTATTAATCTCTACGTACTTTCGCTTTGTATTAGAGATACTATGTGCATATTATTATTAATCTCTACGTACTTGCGGTTTGTATTAGAGATACTATGTGCATATTATTATTAATCTCGTACTTGCGCTTTGTATTAGAGATACTATGTGCATATTATTATTAATCTCTACGTACTTGCGGTTTGTATAAGAGATACTACGTGCATATTATTATTAATCTCTATGTACTTGCGGTTTGTATTAGAGATACTACGTGCATATTATTATTAATCTCTACGTACTTGCGGTTTGTATAAGAGATACTATGTGCATATTAGTATTAATCTCTACGTACTTGCGGTTTGTATAAGAGATACTACGTGCATATTATTATTAATCTCTATGTACTTGCGGTTTGTATTAGAGATACTACGTGCATATTATTATTAATCTCTACGTACTTGCGGTTTGTATAAGAGATACTATGTGCATATTATTATTAATCTCTACGTACTTGCGGTTTGTATTAGAGATACTATGTGCATATTATTATAAATCTCTACGTACTTGCGGTTTGTATTAGAGATACTATGTGCATATTATTAATCTCTACGTACTTGCGGTTTGTATAAGAGATACTACGTGCATATTATTATTAATCTCTACGTACTTGCGGTTTGTATAAGAGATACTATGTGCATATTATTATTAATCTCTACGTACTTGCGGTTTGTATTAGAGATACTATGTGCATATTATTATAAATCTCTACGTACTTGCGCTTTGTATTAGAGATACTACGTGCATATTATTATTAATTTCTACGTACTTGCGCTTTGTATTAGAGATACTATGTGCATATTATTATTAATCTCTACGTACTTGCGGTTTGTATAAGAGATACTATGTGCATATTATTATTATTAATTTCTACGTACTTTCGCTTTGTATTAGAGATACTATGTGCATATTATTATTAATCTCTACGTACTTGCGGTTTGTATAAGAGATACTACGTGCATATTATTATTAATCTCTATGTACTTGCGGTTTGTATTAGAGATACTACGTGCATATTATTATTAATCTCTACGTACTTGCGGTTTGTATTAGAGATACTATGTGCATATTATTATTAATCTCTACGTACTTGCGGTTTGTATAAGAGATACTACGTGCATATTATTATTAATCTCTATGTACTTGCGGTTTGTATTAGAGATACTACGTGCATATTATTATTAATCTCTACGTACTTGCGGTTTGTATAAGAGATACTATGTGCATATTATTATTAATCTCTACGTACTTGCGGTTTGTATTAGAGATACTATGTGCATATTATTATAAATCTCTACGTACTTGCGGTTTGTATTAGAGATACTATGTGCATATTATTAATCTCTACGTACTTGCGGTTTGTATAAGAGATACTACGTGCATATTATTATTAATCTCTACGTACTTGCGGTTTGTATTAGAGATACTACGTGCATATTATTATTAATCTCTACGTACTTGCGGTTTGTATTAGAGATACTACGTGCATATTATTATTAATTTCTACGTACTTGCGCTTTGTATTAGAGATACTATGTGCATATTATTATTAATCTCTACGTACTTGCGGTTTGTATAAGAGATACTATGTGCATATTATTATTATTAATTTCTACGTACGTTCGCTTTGTATTAGAGATACTATGTGCATTAGAGATACTATGTGCATATTATTATTAATCTCTACGTACTTGCGGTTTGTATAAGAGATACTACGTGCATATTATTATTAATCTCTACGTACTTGCGGTTTGTATTAGAGATACTATGTGCATATTATTATTAATCTCTACGTACTTGCGGTATTACTATGTGCATATTATTATTAATCTCTACGTACTTGTGCTTTGTATTAGAGATACTATGTGCATATTATTATTAATCTCTACGTACTTGCGGTTTGTGTAAGAGATACTATGTGCATATTATTATTAATCTCTACGTACTTGCGCTTTGTATTAGAGATACTATGTGCATATTATTATTATTAATCTCTACGTACTTGCGCTTTGTATTAGAGATACTATGTGCATATTATTATTAATCTCTACGTACTTGCGCTTTGTATTAGAGATACTATGTGCATATTATTATTAATCTCTACGTACTTGTGCTTTGTATTAGAGATACTATGTGCATATTATTATTAATCTCTACGTACTTGCGGTTTGTATAAGAGATACTATGTGCATATTATTATTAATCTCTACGTACTTGCGGTTTGTGTAAGAGATACTATGTGCATATTATTATTATTAATCTCTACGTACTTGCGGTTTGTATATTAAGTTACTGTGAGTGCGCGGTGTATGTATTATGCTAGATAGAAGCACATACTCTGTATAAGACTCCCATAATGTCCCTGTAACCAAGTTATTACCATTTCTATATAATACTAATAGCAGAAACATTCCCCCAGAGCTGGATTTATTGTATCTAAACCCACAGTATTTACTTAGTTTGACAGAAGCAGACAGAGCAGGAGCTGAGGGTGAAACCATTGAGGGCTATTGATAATTAGTGTATTATTAATTATTATTAATTATTACTAGGTGTGTCCCTTTATAATCCCTCCCCCATTCCTTGGGGTGTGATTTTTGGGGGTTTTGGGTTTTGCAGACTCCCCTCCCCCAGCTATGTGTCCCCCCCCAGCTCCTGGCATTATGGGGGGCAGGCTGGCTTACCTTGGCTGCCCTCGCCATGTTTCTTCCCCCCTATTTTCTGCTCTGATGCATCAATGAAACCCGTCCCCGCCAACACAGCGCTCACTGCCTGCAGTTCCGGGTGTGAGAGAGACAGGAGTGGGGCAGCGGCCCCCAGCGGCCACCTTGGGGTACTACAGGTGGATGGACATTGAGCAGCAACCTTGCTGCTTGCAAAGCGCCAACATATTCAGCAGCGCTGTACAATAAGGGCAGCTAAAATGCACCACATATACAATATGGAGCTCCTGGTAAAGAGGGACATTAGGAGAGAAGAGATGGGCACAGGGATCTGGGCCCTATATAAGGACTGTCCCTCCTAAATAGGGACACTTGGGAGGTATGGTGCGCAGAGCTGCTAAAAGTAAGCTTATAATATAGAGAAAGTGGATTATTAGAGGTAGAGAACATGGGCGTTATTCATTAACGATGGCGCGATATTTAACACTTAGCGTGATCTGTTTGCCCATATTTTTTATGGTCAGAGAGAAGTCATGGTAGCAATGTACAAAGTAGCGATGATAAGTGGGTTACAGTAATTCAGGAATTGATAGATCGAGTGTGAACATTAGACAGGGTAAGTAGGTACTGAGGGCTTATTGACATAAAGGACAACTGTCTTCAAATTCTTACATCTTGATTTCGAAAAAGTTATTTTTTTTTACATTTAATAATTTTGAAAACATTTTTTTAAAGAAAATGATACTTTTTTTTATCTTTTTGACAAGCCATGTTGGGTCAGAGTTACCTTGAGTAGCAGTTGGTCAGATAACAGTAGACACTGACCCAAACATTGCCGCTCAGTCAGATTAAGAAAAGAGACATTTACTAAAAATAAAGAAATAAATATACATAATTTAAAAAAAATCATTAGGTTTCATTACATGTAATTAAGTTTAAAAAAAAAAAGAGATAAGTTAAATGTGTCCTTTAACTCATTTAGAGGGACACGATAGACACCAAAAGAATTTTAGTTTGATGTAGTAGTTTTGGTGTATAGATCATGCCCCTGCAGTCTCACAGCTCAATTCTCTGTTATTTAGGAGTTAAATTGTTTGTGCAGTACTAGTCACACCTCCCTGCATGTGACTTGCACAGCCTTCCTAAACACTTCCTGTAAAGAGAGATCTAATGTTTACACTTCCTTTATTACACAGTCTTTTTAAATGAACTGTTTAGGCACCATAACAACTTTATTGAAATTAGGATGTTATGGTGTCAGGAGGTCTTTGGTGCTTACCTCAAGGGGTTAAATTGTTCACAAACGGTTTAACCTCAAAGAGTGCAATCCAGCGCCATTCCTGGTTGTTTCTAAGGACATCTGGTGTCTCAAATTCGGATAGAGAATGCAGGGATTGCTGCTAGGCAGGGGCGCCGCTGATTTGCTTAGAGCTGACACTAATTTAATAAGCAGCTTTCCATTAAAAAAAAGGACCATACATCAGCTGGGGAACGGGATTTGCACTAGAGTCTATAAACCCATGGCCAGACGTAATGCTGGGCCTATAACTGCTCCCCCTACAGTTACACCCCAGCATTACAGCGCTAAATGTACATTTGCTTTGTTCCCCCAACAATATAGGTTTTAATGTCCCCAACTCGCCACCAAATCAGGACTAGGAATCCCCGAATCCTGAACCCAATACAGGGATAGAGGGAGCACATTCGAGAACACTATTTATCATGGCTTCCAGGATTTTACCAAACTGTATCCTGATATATGACACCCACTCCAACAAGAATTTAGAGCATTTTCTATGATTTAAACACATTATTGCTCATTTACAGCACTGTCTGAGATTCATGCAGCGGATGTCAGAAATGATTTGCTTCACAGCTGATTCCCAGGCAATTTATATTTGTCTGCAGCGCTGAATACTGTGTTCTGTAGCCCGTACAGTTGATTTCATTGAGGGTAAAAAGAATTTGCGATTTATTCATATGAGCAGCTGTACAATTTATGGCTTTGGTCGGCAATTGATTGCATTATCAAGCCAGTGTCTACAAATAGTAAATATTTTCCTCTGGCTGTTAATTTATTTTTGTGGCAGAACCATTAAGCGGACTGTATGTTAAACAATGCAGACTTCACATTACAGGGGCTAAATAGACTGCAAGCTCTGAGCATTGTACGCGTGTTCTGTACTGTGTGAGCATTGTACTTGTGGTCTGTACTGTGCGAGCATTGTACTTGTGGTCTGTACTGTGTAAGCATTGTACGTCCGGTCTGTACTATGCGATCATTGTACGTCTGGTCTGTACTGTGCAAACATTGTAAGTCTGGTCTGTACTGTGTAAGCATTGTACGTCTGGTCTGTACTATGCGATCATTGTACGTCTGGTCTGTACTGTGCAAACATTGTACGTCTGGTCTGTACTGTGCAAACATTGTAAGTCTGGTCTGTACTGTGTAAGCATTGTACGTCCGGTCTGTAATATGCGATCATTGTACGTCTGGTCTGTACTGTGTAAGCATTGTATGTCTGGTTGGTACTGTGCGATCATTGTACTTCTGGTCTTTACTGTGCGAGCATTGTATGTCTGGTCTGTACTGTGCAATCATTGTACGTCTGGTCTGTACTGTGCGATCATTGTACGTCTGGTCTGTACTGTGCGAGCATTGTATGTCTGGTCTTTACTGTGCGACCATTGTACTTCTGGTCTTTACTGTGCGACCATTGTAATTCTGGTCTTTACTGTGCGAGCATTGTACGTCTGGTCTTTACTGTGCGAGCATTGTACGTCTGGTCTGTACTGTGTGAGCATTGTACGTCTGGTCTGTACTGTGTGAGCATTGTATGTCTGGTCTGTACTGTGCAATCATTGTACGTCTGGTCTGTACTGTGCGATCATTGTACGTCTGGTCTGTACTGTGCAAGCATTGTACATCTGGTCTGTACTGTGTAAGCATTGTATGCGTGGTCTGTACTGTGTGAGCATTGTATGTCTGGTCTGTACTGTGCGAGCATTGTATTTGTGTTCTGTACTGTGTGAGCATTGTATGTGTGTTCTGTACTGTGTGAGCATTGTACATTTGGTCTGTACTGTGAGTACATTTAATGGCTGGTCTGAAACACAAGGGCCATATTGGCTAAACACCAAATTGCAGTTTATTGAAAACTGCTAAATTTAGACAAAAAGTATTTTGGGGGAAAGTTAATCCCAAAATATGTTACAGTTGCACCTTGGTTATTTTTTTATTTATTTTTTCTAAATCACTTTTGTTTCTGTTTATTCAGGATCCTTCATAGTCCTTTCTGCTGTACAGCAATGACGTTGGGTCCTGGCAGCTGAAGCGCCAAGAGCAGAAGAGGATTAGGAGGAAAAGTATGGCGGCATCTCTGAGGGACAGGTTCGGGTAAGTAGAACTCACCCTTGCTGGCCACCCTCCCCGCATCTTTGGATCCACAGCGACAATGTCACTGCCGTGGATCTTTGACAGTGACAATGCCACTTTAAACCACAATAAATGTATTTAGAAATCAGTCTGTGTAAATAAGATACATTGTTCTTGCTCTAAATTACATTGTGGTTGCATAAATTGTTATTAATAAAGCACCTAGAAAAGGCATTTAAACCCTGCAATGTAACAGGCCACAGCAGTTAAATATAACAAGTCGTGTATTCTGGTTCTTGTGTCCGTTGCTCTGTCAGCCCTGTTATGGTCCAGGCGAGTTCTTATCCCACTTTCGTTAAGTGACCCCTATTTGTCACTCTGATGCAATGTGTGGATTTGGATTTCCTAGATGGAGCACCCATCAGTCGTATGATTACTGTAATCCCAAATCGCTCTGACAGTGGGGAACAAAACTATAAATTGTGCAGTGACCTAATTTTACCTAACTGCAGCTTTAACCCCTTCAGTATCAAAGGGCTAGGAACCACTTTATATCACTATATACCGATTTAACATGTGGCCCTTTAAAGGTTAACATGTTGAAATGCATTACAATAAAACTGGGGCATGCATGAAAAAAAAAAAAAAAGAAAATGGGAGTTCTAATGTTGGCAGGTTTTTACCCACCCTCCCTTTTTTTTTTATCACCCATAGTGCTTTGCATTCTCTGGATTGCGTAACATTGCAGATTTTTGACAGAATTTAGGTTTGCTTGTTTTACATTTGATTGGAGTGACCACTCATGGGTGCCTACTGCTTATATTCTACTCCAATTTATTTTATTTATTACTGGCATTTATAAAGCGCCAACATATTCCGCAGCGCTGTACAATGATCACAAGTTTTACATAAATAATTAACAAGGAAAGGGAATGTTTTAAAGGGGTACTATACCCACCCAGGTCATTTCATCTCATTGAAGTGGTCTGGGTGCAGTGTCCACTGTGCAATGTAAAACAGTTTTAGAGAAATGGCAATGTTTATTGCCTCTAGTGTCTATCAAAGGATGCTGGATGTCCTCACGCTTTGAAAAGCCCCATAGGACATGATGGATGCAATGCTTTCTTAGGGGGAAGGCTTAATGCTTAATGCGCGTGAGGCACTTGATGCACATAATCATTAGGTTTCCACATCTCCACGACGTCGCGGGAAGAGGAGTTCGATCTTGCACTGATGGATTTCGGTTCTGGAATCAGGTAGGTAAGTGAAAAAGTGTTTCTTGATTGGCAGTGGGGAGTGACACAATGACCAAGGCACAATATAGTGTCAGGTATCCAATTCTGTATGCGTAACACTATATTATGTATCTAAAAGAACACTAAACAGCACATTTGGAGAGTTGTTCCAGGTCCACTTGTAAGTTCTCTAGGATTTGCATATTAGAGAATCATTTCCAAAAGACATAATGGATTCTTAAATCTTTTCACAGAGTCACATTCCTTGTACAAAGGACAATGAAAACAAATCAAACCAGGAATCAATAGGAAATATTTATTTGGATGTCAAGGTTAATCAGGCGATATGTGGGCCTGTGTGAGGCATACAGGGAGGGTAACAATCCGATACATCAGATTTGCATTATCTTTGCCTAAACAAACAGCAGTCATATTATGGTAACTTCGTTATGGATATAGAAAGAAAGGGGAGGGATATGATCGATGCATGCAGAATGTTCCACAGCGGATGTGACAAAGGTGGCCTTAACCGACATAATGTTTAAATATCTAGGAAAGAAAGAAACATTCTGAAATATTCACCAATTACATGAAAGTGCAGAGCCAGCTGCAAATCGAATTTAAAAAAATAATAATTGAGAATCGTTTGACAAATCTTTATATAAATCTATGAATAAATAGTGGACAAAAAAAAAAAAATATGTTCCAACAAAAAAACAAAGTAACGAGTTTATTCACGAAATTCTGAATTGTACCACATTTAGATCCAAATAGCAAGATTCAGGTTATAACAGTTATATAGCGGAGTTGGTGATTTTTTGCAGAGTTTGGGAACATCAAAATAAATCAAAAAGTTCAATATTTACCTTTCGTCCATTTTAAAATGATTTGTGAATTATAAAGGGACATTATGTATAATGGGTAACCGATCCGTAGATTGCACTAGGAGAATAGCAAGCAGCATACAATGAGAAAGGGTCCAGTGTAAAGTAACAGAAAATATACGCATATCCATCTTTAAACTTTAGATTAGTTAGAAAATAAAGAGAGGGATTTTCAGTGTGATGAGTCTGCCCTCTTTCTGACCATAATGTGTCCATCTATGCAGATTAATTCCAATGAATAATATATATTTATTTAGAGGGCTCTGTATAAACCACATGGTCAGATTGGAAGTGTTAAAAAAAAAAAATGTCCAGTTAGCCCCATAAGGCATTTACATAATGTGAACTGTATTTGATGTATATTTTGCAGCAATTCTGAGGATCTTTGATATTTCTGAGATGTATATGTATGTTCCCAATAACAACAATTTTCCAAAATATCGGCCTCGTTTAATGAAGCCAGCTATCAGTGAATATGTGTCTCTATGCTTAGGGGGTCTGCACGTCTTGTATGGCTATTACCTGTCTGGTTTCCCCATTTATCACATTAAAAGTGCATATTATTTGGTAACACAATGCATTGATCATTGCAAACTATAAACACTGTCTACGTTAGGTGTAATAGTGTTCAAAAGGCAAGTAGAAATCTTTAGAGCAGATTGTGATTTTTAATTTTTGAGTAAATCCATAGATATTTATAAATAAAATATTCCAAAAAAATAAGATGCCCTGAGTCTTGGTTATGTGACAGAGCCACTCTTAAATTGAATCAAGTTGCCATTGTGTTGTCAGTCATTGACCCTGCAAACCATTAGAACAGAAATCTCTTGCATCTTTTGCAGTGAAATTCCTTTGAATAGAGAGTCATGTGTCAGTAAGTTGCCAGGCAAGGAGTTTGGTGCTTTAATCATTCGTGGAACAAACAAAACCACACGTATCAACAAGCATTTGCACAAAAAAAAAAAAGAAAAAAAAAAAGGAAGACCAGTGAATCAAACTGCCGATGTTTCCACACCCTGCGTGGACCCCTTTGCAGAAAGGCTTCCAGAGATATTGTCTGAATCTAGTAACTCCACAATACTGTACGGAGAGCAGTCCTCTAGACCCAACTTGCTGCAGATCCAACCACAAACACCTTTCTCCATGTCCTTCACAGCATGCCACCACTGACCAAAGCACCATGCGATCTGGGCCAGTGAGGCATACAGAGCTAGCGACACAGATAGCACCACGATAATGATGGGGTAGAAGATCATCAGGAAGGGGCATACGGTTATCTTGTGCCAGAAAGTCCTTTCCTCATTATAAACCAAGAAGATGTTATACCACGTGATGGTTCCATAATAGAATGATAACACGAACGAAAGAACAAATATAACTGGCAAACAAAGAATGCTCCAGAGGAGAATGTGAGGACCCCTGTCCCACCCAACTGAACAGGCCTGCTTGCTTTCCATTGGCTCGTCTTGTAAAGGTTCCTTGGATCTTGCAAGCTCCTGGAGCTCTTTCTCTGTTAAGGTTACATGAATGTCCACCATCTGTCCCTTCTTCTTTCCACGGGTAATTGTGCCAGTTAAGGTGACGTAACGATTGTCTGGGGGCAAACGCCAACCTCCTGGAAAATACAGTCCATTAGCCCAGTGTTAATGCACAACTAAAAACACACATCTCTCAGGTTGACATACCAAGTACCATAACCAATTCAGCTACATTATTAGAGCTTATTGTAGAGATTATGATTCAAATAAAATGTACCTGAAAAACCTATATTTGAAGTCCTCAAACAAACATTTTCGTTATTTTCATCTTCATCTCCAGTGCCTACACTCCACCCGTTCCTCACTGCATTCATACTGGGAAGTACTGCCTCTCCACTAAGCTGTCCAAGCACTAATACAATGTAAATATGCACGGTCTACACAAAACATTCAAATCAGTCCCCTTCCCTTTCAATATTTGTGCACAGAGCAGGGCCAAGAGTGGAGAAAGCGGTGTGTGCTCCTATCAGCCACATGATAGCACAGATCAAAGGAGAAGCTAAGTTTACAATATGGGTAGAGTAAAAATCATGATCATGCAGAGGACGGAAATTTAAAAGGATACTATAGCTCCCTTACTTACCAGATTCCAGCGCGGATATCTCTCTCTCTCTCTCTCTCTCTGATGTCACCCAGCACTATGGGAAAGCATTGGATTGGCTGAGAGCAGCAAGACCGGTTATCTCAGCCATGGAAGCGGAGCCAGCGGCAGCAAGACAAATACATACATGATTGTGGTGTGTCTACTAAATTGTTTTAAACATTTATTTTCAATTGAGTGATATTTTAAGTAGTTAGGAGGTTCATTTTATTTCATAGGAATTTTTTTTTTTATATATATATTTTTAAAAATGTAAATACAAAACTGAAGCCTAGAAATATAAATATCTTCAAAACTGCAGAAGATGCAATTATTCCAACAGATAAAATGCAAACACTCCTCTGTCCAACAGTGGGATTTATTCACCAAACACAGACATTGGAGAATATTTGCAAAAGAAATCTGAATTGCAAAAGTTGATGTTAAAATAGCTGATACCCACGAATAATTACAGAATGGTTATTTCAGCCTTAATTTGCCTTTTGGATTTAATTCACTAAAATTTGATGTTACATGAAAAACAAAACATATGAACTGCCTATACCTGGTTTTCATATTTTTGTGTTTCTTACCTAAATCATAAAGGATTGGGTTTCCTGTCGGCACTTTAAGCAACACCAATTTATTCTGAAATACTAAAATTGAATCATGTATATAGAAGAGTAAAGAATACATAATCCACCAGCATTCTTGATAACGACACAGCTCTAATACAGTGGAGACAATTTGGTCCACAGACAGTACGTACCATCAGAACCTGGTGTTCCGACAAATCGTGCTCCCTCCTCAGTGCTCTTCTCGCCTCCTTCCTGATTGGCTTGCTCTTCTTCCAAGAATTTCTCATTGTCCGATCGATACACGATTATCGACTCCGGCCGTGGCTCCTTTTTTTTCCTCTTCTTCCTCTCGATAGTGGCCTCACTGGTTGTGACCCCTTCAAAAGAGACAGCAGCGGCTGCTCTCCGGAGGGTGCCTCTCAGAGGGCTCTGTGGGGCACTCTTGTTACCTTTGGGGATGTTGTCGGTCGCCCCAGCATCAACCTGTATCACCTCACCCTGCATTTTTGGAAATCAATGGAAGCCTACTGTCCCAGACTTACTGTTTTTTCTTGTCCATGATGGCTGCTGTAAAACCTGGAACAAAAAGAACGAAATATTATTATTCAAAGGAAAGGAAAGGCAAATCTGGATTTCTTTGCTAGTTTACTCTGCCCATAAAACATTACTGAGAATCAGTATTAAAAGCATAGCAAGCAACAGTTACTTTCGGATTTGTTGGGAAACCATGGCAGAAGCTGCACAGCTGGGAATTTCCAGCCAATGTATGAGTTCAACAGGTATCACGTTTACCCTTTACAATTTTTCCCATTTTGTTAATACATCGTGTGTATATTACACTGAAATAGAATGGCTCAGTCTCCAGCCCGGAGTTCTAGAACACTATGTTAGAAAAACAAAACAAAAAACGACGGAGGGGCGTGGCTTGGCTGCTGATGGAGTAGGACGCAGACGACAAGAGCTCCTAGGCCCCAACCCGCCAAAGCCTTTTACACACAGCGTTAATCACCGTCCTCATGGGTAAACCGCAGGCACCCACGGGCCAGCAACCTGGACCAATGGACGAATACCTCTCCACCCCACAGAACCTGGGCTCCACACAGGACTCCCCGAGGAGAGACGCACTCACGCAGATGTCAGCCGACCTGGCATCGATCTCGGCAAACATACTCACCCGGGAGGACAAGACAGACCTGATTGCAGAACTCCGCTCCGTTATCCGAGAAGAAATCACTGCGGTGTGGAGGGACCTTGCAGCGCTGGAACACAGGGTCGACGACCTGGAAGTCCAGCGCCTACAAACAGCACAGCACCAGCGGGCCACTGACCTGGCTACCACAAGGCAAGGAAACTTACTCCTCAATCTCAGACGTCAGGTGGAAGATCTTGAAAACCAAGGCCGGCACAACTATATACGCGCCAGGGGTATGCCAGAATCAGACGGGGAAACACCGCGGGAGTTGCTGGGAGGCCTGTTTCCCCAAATCCTGGGTGGTCGGGGCACCGCCGGACTTGGATTAGAGAGAGCACATAGGGCACTTAGGGCCCCACGGAGAGACGGCCTACCCAGGGAACTGGTCTGCTGCTTGCGGTCGTTCCAGCTGAACGAGACAATTATGAGAGCTGCCAGAGCGCTCTTTTAGATATATGGACTCGCACATATCATACCAGGACTTGTCCACCCTCACCCTCGATCCACGAAGGGCTTTGAAACCGCTCACCAGCCCCCTTTAGGAGAAGCGGGTCCCGTACAAGTGGGGATTCCCGTTTAGCTTACAGGCCAGAGTGGATAACCACCCCCCAGTGAACACACCATGGCCCAGGGACACCAAGACTGGTTGAACTGGGTATGTACCATGTTCTCCTTGCCCCGTTGGCCCCACCGCAGCTCGGAGGTAGGATAATCCCGGGGAGCCATTGATTGGGAGGGGTGCGGGCAGGGAAAAGAACCCTCCACAGGGCTACACAGGGAATAAGGCACCCCTGGTCCTACATGGGTCCACATGGGTTCAGGTTAGCTAGGGTGGACGGGTCACGGGAGGGGGCACAGCACCCAAGAGGGACCGGGACTCAGCCATAACACAGGGCAACCCCATCATAAACGGCAACGGCACACTCTCTGGCATACCGCAACCCATTGAGGCCCGGGAGGAGGCCAATGTTTAAAGAAAGGGGATGTGGCAACATACGGCAAACATAATGGGCTCATGCTACATTTATGGGATCTCATACTACCGAGCCACAAATCTACACAGAATAGTGGACTGGCATGCACGCCCAAGCCCTAAATGCTGGGTAAACATGGAACTGCAACAGATATATGGCATGGTCCCATCAAGACTTTGGCTTGGTGGCTCCACCCTCTCGGACCTCCACACAGGCAACACTATGATAGACGCCACCCTTAGGATTTGGTGCGGACAGAGATATGCTCAACAACTAACCACTTCCCCGAGCCCGCTTACACCCATTACGCACAATCCGGACTTGGCGGGTGGTCTCCCCCAAGCTGCCCTTAAAAACTTCCAGAAGACAGACTGGATCTACATAAGCCAGTGGTGTTCTGGGGGAACGCTCCAACCACTGGACGACTTGATGTCAGACCGGCAACCCACCCAAGTGGACAAATTCCACTACCACCAAGTGAAGACATACCATGCCAAACTCCTTGGAAGAGATCATCTCCAGAGGCAACTCTAGGAATTTGACCGACTGTGCACGAATAGACGACTCATTGACCATGGGGTTTCACACCTATATGCAATGCTCCAGAGGACCAGAGACAGCAGCCCATTAGGTTATACGAGCAAGTGGGAAAGGGAGACCGGGACACAACTGACGGACCAAGACTGGGAAAAAATATACCTCTTAACTCATAAATGCTCCATAAGCTCGAAGTTTCAGGAAACCAGCTACAAACTGTTGACACACTGGTATAGAACACCAGATTCCCTCAGACACATACACAAGTCTAACATGGGCGAGTGCTGGAGATGCGGCACAACGTTGGGAACTAGTTTACACATCTGGTGGTCATGTCCTTGCATTACAGCGTACTGGCAGATGATCAACACAAAGATCAAGGAGGTCACCGGAGACGACTTCCCCCTACAATCCTTGACAATGCTTTTGCATCACACACCCACCCCCACGCAGGCATACAAAAACTCCCTTACCATTCACTTGCTTAATGCCGCAAAAGCACTCATACCCCTGCATTGGAAATGCCCAACAGTCCCCACTCTTAGGCAATGGATAGACAAAGTCGAGAACATTTATGACATGGAAATGCTGACGGCCTCCCTGCGAGAGCGCTCAGACAAGTGCGCCTTAAAATGGTACCCCTGGAGGCTATACATCTCCAGGAGGGTGGCTTAAGGACACCCAAGTTCGGGACCAGGCCCAAGGGGGTAGAACCAGAACAAACTGACATATAGATATAGACCCCACACTAAAAAGAGGATGGCAATGCGCCAAGGGGGGAGCGATCCCACCCGGTCCCCTGGTGCTTTTCCCCTTTAGTCCTCCCCCACCCCCTCCTCTTTTCCCTGCTCTCTCTGTCCCTTCTCCACTACCCTCTATCCTCATCCTTACCTTGTACAGAGAATTAGGTTAGAACCGCACCCACTCGACTCACAATAGACAGACGCTCAGATCAGACGCTCGTGAACGAAAAGACCGACGGACGGACCAAACCGAACATGGCCAAACCACTTCACCTAGACAGACCTTCCTCAAGATAACCGCAAACAGACACACCCACGCCCAAAGGTACGAAGACACCTAAGGCTGGGCCCCAAGCCCAACACGGACCAGGGAACACAGTACACCTACATTGCTTCTAGCCTCCCCACCACACACGCTGACAGTTTTCTGTGGAAAACGTGAAAAATTTCAATAAACATGATTGACACAAAAAAAACAAAACAACAACATTTAGTAGATATAGAAAAGCTGAAGTGCTTTACGTCTTAAGATGCTACTTTTACATACAAATGTAATCTATACATTCAATTGCTAATTTTGCCAGGACAATGTACAGATTCAATTTGTATCATTTACCCAAAATAGACTTTGTCACCCAGAAATTTGTGGAACTGATCCATGTTAAAAGAGATCCCCCATGGCTAAACGACACATGACTTTTTAAATATGGCAATGACGGAACAAGGACGTTATTAAAATGTAAACCAGTATATACAGATTAAATTGGACAGATTTATAGTCGCAAGAAACACAACGTGATCTATTTTCAGCTGAGGACCTATTATAACTAACCTTCAGCACTCCAAGGAATAGAACTACTATTCCCAATTTGTTCACATGCTCTCAAGTGTCCCTATTTAGGAGAGACAGTCCCTCTGCTCCTCCATATTGTTTGTGTGTCTGAGTGTGTAACAGAGCTCCATAGTAATAATACTCCCCATAATGTAACTGCAATAAATGTGTGAAAGCAGTCAGTGTAAATAAGATACATTGCTCCTGTTCTAAATTACATTTAGTTCATTATTATTAGTAGTAGTATTTATATAGCGCCAGTTTATTCCGCAGCGCTTTACAATAAAAGGGGAATTTATCAAATGAGACAAAAACAAAATTTAACAGAAACAACAGGTAGTTAAGGACCCTGCTCAAACGAGCTTACAGTCTAGAATTGTTATAAGTAAATCACCTAAAATTTCCCATAACAGCCCTCCACTGCACCCCCCAATCCCTATAATTAAAAAAGTCTACTCTTTGTCCATTTGAAACATTGGGAGTTTCATTCGACCATTTACTTGTATTTTTCACAGTGATTGCCTACCTCTGGCACTTCACAAACAGGAAAAAATAACTCTCATAAATCCCAGCCCGACAACCTCTTACAGAAATTAGGAAGGACATGCCTTCCAACAAGCAGTTAAGTTTCTAAATAACCGTGTCTAGCCCCGGCTGTGACCGCAGGCACAGCGACTTTTCACATTCAATGAAATGCCCTTCTGAATTCAGGAATAAATGCACTTGGCAAAACAAAAGACATGATAGGATCACATCTGCGTCCGGAATACAAGAGGTGACAGCATCTCACAGAGAAGGCTTTGGGAGCAGATGGCTTTAAAACCTTTGATGGAAAAAAGTGCTTAAAAGAGACAAAAGCATTTTCAATTCTCAAGTTAATATGTGACAGAACAGGGTACGCGATATCAGATCATTACAGCTTTAAAGAAAGTAAGTCAGTTCTGGGATCCTGGGAATTTACAGTTATGTAAGTTGGGTACGTGGAAACAAGCCTGTAAGCCAAGCACTTATTTTAGGATAAGGGCAAAAACCCCACCAAGTAAGAGAGTCTCACATAGTGTATCAATTTGCGATATATATAAAAAAGCAGGTCTACACACTCTGGGTTATTCTCTAGAGAGGGCATTCTAAGCGTATTCCTAAATATGAGGTCACAACAGTAAATTGGGAAAGATTCTCTGAGTCAGCTGGGTTAACCATTCATCTATTGTGGCCGAAGAACTTTGGCCTTCCCTGCACTTCTGGGTTTAGCGAATTTAGTGATTGATCCTCAGTGCCACAAGGTCAAACTACTGAATTTGCCAAACATGCTTCTAAGTAGTCATTTCCTCACAGATACGTATCACTTTTAGTTTTGGGGATCAACAAAAGGTGACATATTTGGGGAGACCCCTAGTAGGGATTTTTCAGAGTTACAGAACCCGGCGGGACAATATCTTTCTACATAGTGTGGTGGCCCATAACTGAAGGCCAGGATCTGGGACAGTCCCAATCTCCATATCTGAGGAGGTCATAGGTAAATTAAAGAGTAAACATAGACTTTTTAATGTTTTAATGAGCTAATGTGCTGATGATAACTATAGAAAAAAAAAGAGGTGGAACATAACATGGGGAGCACCGATCGCAGCCACAAAATAAGATTAAGCCCAGGTCTATAGTTTACATTTTAAGTCAAAGTCCAAATATCAGGAATAAACAAGTCACATGTGATTCCAGATGACAAGACTAAACCCTTGCTTCATGTTCCAAGTGAAACCTTCTTTGCTGATGACCTGAGGAATGTGCAAGTCCCTATTAAATCAAGTGTTCAACTTCTGTACATTTCCAGGTCAAATACAATGATGTAACAAGGAACATTTTCCCTTTCCTCTCATGGTCCTTCGTGGTGAAATCCTGGGGCCAAACATCTACCAATCCCCCTTAAACCTCTCTGAGAAATACAACGGAGGCCAAAAGTCTTCCAGTGAAGCCAGATGGCATTGGAAAGGAATTTTTCCATAAACATTTTGGATGCCAATGGTCCCGTTGTGTTCAAGCCAATTTTATTTTAAGAGAAGTTAATCCAGAGGCTCTGCAATACTGATCTTAGCAAAACTGTATCTGTATTTGGGGCTTATTACCGAGAGTATTTTCCCGGTCAGATTCCTAAAAACCCTAGTGGGTTCCTCCTTGGGGTAGACAGCAGAATCCTTTTACTTGATAACATCCTGGTGTGATAATTCACTAGTAAAAAGAGAAATCACATTCAAAATGTTCCTGGGGAGTTCTTTCTGGAGGAAGCAAAGACACCCACTTGAACATTAAGATTCCCGGGGCTGTACTTACTATAGTGTGTTAGGGTAGTGCAGGGGTTAATACTTACTATAGTGTGTTAGGGTAGTGCAGGGGTTAATACTTACTATAGTGTGTTAGGGTGGTGTAGGGGTTAATACTTACTATAGTGTGTTAGGGTGGTGCAGGGGTTAACATTTAGTGTATCGTGTTTGATAAGTCCCACTGCTGCCTGAGATTACTTGGAGCTATTATTCCAGGCTGCAGCAGCTAATCCATTTATATGGCAGAAAGTAGTAATTCCCACAACTCTCAGACAGAGCAGGGCACGTTACCCCTTTTTATCAAACAACATAAATGTGGAAGTGTGACAGTCACAGATTTTAGAATTAACATTTAAAAACAAGGAGCTGAGATGGATCACTTACACTAATGGGTTAGAAAGAGACAGACATTGAAATGGTAAAACCAGCTATTGGCAAAAGAGCTAGCAATCCATTAAACTCTTACTTTAGCAAATTAATGCGTCCCATTTAAATAACACACTCTCTGCAGAAGAGCCAACTGTAATGTGAAAATAAAGTCAGTAAAATTCTCTGAGTGCCCATTGATACAATTAGCACATTGCATTCAGAGCTGAGATCCCAGTGTCTGATTCATCCCAAGAGTGAGACGGAATTGGCAACTTTCAAATGTGAGGGGGGAAACATTCCAAGAATAGACAGGGGGGATGGGGAGACCTACTGTAGGGATATTACTGTACAGGAAACACACAGTTTGCAATCTCAGCTGGGGGGCAACAAGACCAGGAAACAGAAATCAGCAATGAATCCTCCCAAAACATGAATCCATTGATAATTCCTGATTTGTAACAGCAGTCCCTGCATTGTGACATTTCATGGCCATTCTGCATTGGACAGTAATGGAACACTTGCCATGCAGGAGTGCATGGTTTAATACTGATCTCTGCTCCTAAATCAGCCCAATAAATGATACCAAAAGGGGATGCCAGTCCATATTGGAAAATCCTCACTAGAGAAATGCAAATCAGGCTGGGGAGAGGGGAACAATCAGTATGGACTAAATCATCCATTCATGGGGTGACTCCTTAATTCTGCTGCTGTAATAAGATATAATAAAATACTGGCCCCCATACCCAGAGATTACTCAGTGCATTGTTAGATGTGCTATATTATGGGAGCTACACACCCAGTGGAGAATCTGATAAATTAAACATAGGTGAGGTCAAGTTGGATAGAAATAAACTATATATAAATATAATATATATACACACACAAATCATCAGTCCTGCTACAAAAACATAAAAAGAGAGAGAGAGAGAGAGAGAGAGAGAGAGAGAGAGAGAGAGAGAGAGAGAGAGAGAGAGAGAGAGAGAGAGAGAGAGAGAGAGATATTTTATAAAATCAATGAGAGAGAGAGATAGATACACATATAAGAGAGAGAGAGAGAGACACACACATAAATCAATCAATGAGAGAGAGAGAGATATAAATTAGAGAGACATATTATAAATCAATCAATGAGAGAGAGATTATAAATCAATAAATTATATTTATATGGAGAGAGGGAGAAACATATTATAAATCAATGAGAGAGAGAGACATATAAATTAGAGAGAGAGAGATTATAAATCAATAAATTATATTTATATGGAGAGAGAGAGATACATATTATAAACCAGGTGGTAATAATATAATGTGTGCACATGTCACTCCAGTTTTATAATCTCAGTGCATGTTATCCTCTTACCCTGTGAAGTGCTGCTGGGGGTATCTGCTCTCTGCCAGTCCACCATGGGGGGTGCTGATGTACCCCATGCCCCCCCAGTCACTCTCTACCCATCCCAGCCCTGCTGCACAAAGGAGAGACCACAGGCCACGCCCACCCGCACATCCCCGGGAGGAGATAGAGCTCTTTCACATGACGTCACCCACGCACAGCTGACTGCAGCCATTTTTACTGTCTGTCTGGCTGTCTGTCTGTCTGACACCATTAACTCTTTGCTGACTGCCACAATTGCAGTTTTTTGTTTGTTTTTTTGCAAGATTTAGCCTTGTTTTGTTAGTCTCCCTCCCAAACTTATTTTTTTTTTTTAATTTCACTACAGTGTATATAGTATGTTTATTAAGATAATTATATTTGTTTATTTTATGAGAACACATCACTCTGGATAGTGTCTTTCACTCTATACAAAAGTTACTATTCCTTATAAAATAATGAAATACACCTGTGCCAATTTGGAGTCTTCTTTAATAATAATAATAATAATAATAATAATAAATCTAAATGTTACCTGTGAGTAGAAAAACAAATCCCATTAAAGAAATACCCCAAGCACCGTAAGCGGCACAGTTAGTTTCAGTGGTTATAGTGCCCAGGCGCCATCCCACAGTAAGTAGTCAAACCGTTTTCATACAGTGTGACAGCTTGCCTAGGTCCTGCAGGGCGCCTGCTGCCGCAGCCCCAGCTTCCAGTCTTGTCCTGCAGTAGGATCCAATCAGTCCTACAAAGATAAGCCAAGCCATGCAGGACTGTGATCACTGGCTGAGAGTGCCAACTGAGCGCTCTGTTCTAATGAAATCAGAACTGCGTCAGCCGTGCTTTCATTTTATGATAAATCTGACTTCCAATGAAGGTGAAGAACGTATAAAGTGCAAATACCCGGATGTACAGTGAGGGAAAAAAATATTGATTCCCTGCTGATTTTGAATGTTTGCCCACTGACAAAGAAATGATCAGTCTATAATTTTAATAGTAGGTGTATTTTAACAGTGAGAGACAGAATAACAAAAAAAATAAATAAAAAAATTTCAGAAAAAGGCATGTCAAAAAAGTTATGAGTGAAATAAGTATTTGATCCCCTATCAATCAGCTAGATTTCTGGCTACCAAGTGTCTTTTATACAGGCAACGAGCTGAGATCAGGAACACTCTCTTAAAGGGACACACCTGTATAAAAGACACCTGTCCACAGAAGCAATCAATCAATCACATTCCAAACTCTCCACCATGGCCAACACCAAAGAGCAGTCCAAGGATGTCAGGCAGGCCCGGACTGGCCATCGGGCACACCGGGCAAATGCCCGGTGGGCCGCGGTGGCCGTGGGGCCGAGGCCGGCAGGGGAGGTCCCAGGATCTCCCCTGCCGGTCTATGCAGGGCCGGCACTCTCCTAGCGCCGGCCCCGCTGTTTGCCATGACGGGCCGGTGGGGAGATCAAGGATCTCCCTGACCGGCCCACATGCGGCCGCCGGCGGGCAGAGAGGGAGCCAGGCTGGAGAGAGGACCCGGCGGAGCTCTAACTTGCAGCTCCGCCGGGTTCCTCTCGCGAGATCCGGCGCGTTGCCATGGCAACGACCGGATCTCGCGAGAGTGAACTCTAGCCTCACTGGCTAGAGTTCACTCACCCACGAGGACCACCAGGGAACACTGCCACCCCGCCTGCCAGCGTGCCGGACCCCCCTCCCAGGCTAAAGGTAAGAAGGGAGGGGGGACATAATGCCTGTTTTTTTTATTTTATTTTTTTATTTACCCCCCCCTACACACACACACACAATAACATTTATACAGCACTCTCACACCCATCACACACAGCACTCTCACACCCATCACACTCACAGCACTCTCTCACACAGCACTTTCACACACAGCACTCTCTCACAGAGCACTCTCACACACACACAGCACTCTCTCACACAGCACTTTCACACAGCACTTTAACACACAGCACTCTCTCACAGAGCACTCTCTCACACAGCACTCTCACACCCATCAACCTCACACCACTTTCACACACACAGCACTCTCTCACAGAGCACTCTCACACACACACAGCACTCTCTCACACAGCACTCTCACACCCATCACACACAGCACTCTCACAGCACTCTTTCACAGCACTCTCACAGAGCACTCTCACACACACACAGCATTCTCTCACACAGCACTCTCACACCCATCACACTCACAGCACTCTCACACACACACAGCACTCTCTCACACAGCACTCTCACACCCATCTCACACAGGGCACTCTCACACGGCACTCTCACACCCATCACTCACACCGCACCCTCACACACACACATACTGCACCCCTCACATACACACAGAACCCCCCAACACACTGCACCACACACATACACAATACTTCCAAATATATATATATGTGTGTGTGTGTGTGTGTATATATATATACACACACACACACACACAACACTCTTAAAGGACCACTCTAGCCACCCAGAACACTTCAGCTTAATGAAGTGGTCTTGGTGCCAGGTCCTTCTAGGGTTAACCCATTGTTTTATAAACATAGCAGTTTCAGAAAAACTGCTATGTTTATCAATAGGTTAAGCCCTCCCCCAAAGCCTCTAGCAGCTGTCTCATTGACCGCCGCTAGAGGCACTTGCGTGCTTTGCACGCAAGCGTCCATAGGAAAGC